TTGATTAGCTCTAGTAATTTTCTGGTAGAGTCTTTAGGGTTTTCTATGTAGAGGATCATGTCATCTGCAAACAGAGAGAGTTTCACTTCTTCTTTTCCTATCTGGATTCCTTTTACTTCTTTTTCTGCCCTGATTGCTGTGGCCAACACTTCCAAAACTATGTCTCTGCTTTTTAATATGCTATCTAGGTTGGTCATAACTTTCCTTCCAAGGAGTAAGCGTCTTTTAATTTCATGGCTGCAGTCACCTTCTGCAGTGATTTTGGAGCCCCCAAAAATAAAGTCTGACACTGTTTCCACTGTCTCCCCATCTATTTCCCATGAAGTGATGGGACCAGATGCCATGATCTTAGTTTTCTGAATGTTGAGCTTTAAGCCAACTTTTTCACTCTCCTCTTTCACTTTCATCAAGAGGCTTTTTAGTTTTTCTTCACTTTCTGCCATAAGGGTGGTGTCATCTGCATATCTGAGGTTATGGATATTTCTCCCAGCAATCTTGATTCCACCTTGTGCTTCTTCCAGCCCAGCATTTCTCACGATGTACTCTGCATACAAGTTAAATAAGCAAGGTGACAATATACAGCCTTGACGTACTCCTTTTCCTACTTGGAACCAGTCTCTTGTTCCATGTCCATTTCTAACTGTTGCTTCCTGACCTGCATACAGGTTTCTCAAGAGGCTGGTCATGTGGTCTGGTATTCCCATCTGTTTCAGAATTTTCCACAGTTTATTGTGATTCACACAGTAGAAGGCTTTGTTGTAGTCAATAAAGCAGGCTTAAGACCGGTTTAACCCACAAGGTTTTAAAAAGTGGGACTGACATTAAAAAGTTAGAACTATTATCAAGTTAATAATAGGGGGGTTCCTGGTCATCCAGTGGCTAGGGCTCCATGCTCCCAATTCAGGGGATCCTGGTTTGATCCCTGGCCAAGGAGCTAGATCCCACATGGCATAACTAAGAGTTCTTAAGCTACAACTAAGAAGTTTGCATGCCCCAGTGAAGATCCCTCGAGCCACAATGAGGACCCAGCACAGCCAAAATAAATAAATTTTTAAAAAGGAAATTACTAAAAAAATAATAATCATAAGCACTGTGCTCAGTACTTTCCATTTATTAAATGATTTAATACTGACAAAAATCCCAGGTGCTCCTATTTCCCCCATTTCATGGCTGAGAAAAATGAGTCTCAGAGAAGTTAAGTAACTTTCCCAGGAGGAAGTTGCAGATTCAGGATTTTATATGATACTGAATATAGTTCAAATTTTGAAAAAGCCCTAATTTAAGCTGGCTTTTCCTAAATTGGGAAGTGAGATGATATAGTAATGAAAAGCATGCACTTCAGTCAGATAAACCAGCGTTCTAATCCAGATTTTGACTTTCATGATCTTGTGACATTGGACATGCCTGTTAATCTCTATATGCTTAAATTTCTTCAACTCTGAAATGAGGATATAATACTTGTGGTAATGTAGGTAAAGTGTTTAATAATTCTTGACATAAAAAATGCTCAATATATGGTAGGTTTTATTATTTTCCCAGAATCTGTTAAACAGTTAAAATATCTATTTAAAATAAAAATTATTATGGTTGCTTTGGTGATACAGAAAATGTTTTCTGTGTAATTTATTATTATTTTCCTTTCATATCAGTCAATGTTTTATTTTTGTACAATGTTTTACTTTTACTTTGCTGATTTTTTTTTGTTACTGTACAGAGCATTCAGACTTATCATTTGATCATTCTTTGCTTTGTAGCAAAATAATTAACATGATTTAATTGTTTTCTTTTAAAGCTTATTGAGAATGCTAAACATAGAAAAGAAAATGAACTAATAGCAAAGAGAGAGAAATTGATTTTGGAAATAGAAAAGGAATCACGGCGCATGGAAGAGTTTGCGGAATTTGCAGAATTGGACCGCATGCAACAGGTCTGATAAATATAGACAGTAGCTGTGGCAGGCTGGTAGATAAGTATAGGGCATGTTTGTATAGGGTTGCCCAGGTGGCTCCAGTGGTAAAGAACCTGTCTGGCCAAGGCAGGAGACATAAGAGATCCTCTTATGTTTGATCCCAGGGTCGGGAAGATCCTCTGGATGAGGGCATGGCAACCCACTCCAGTCTACTTGTCTGGAGAATCTTATGGACAGAGGATCCTGGCAGGGTACAGTCCACAGAGTCGCTAAGAGTCAAACACAATTGAGGCAACTTAGCACGCTAGCAGGCATGTTTGTATAATATAGAAAAGCATGTGCTTACTTAGGCAAAAAGGGGCCTGACTTGTAGGCCTGGAACTGCTGCTAATTATATAATCTTTTTTGTGGGTTAGTTTTCTTTTTGTTAAGTAGACATAGTCATTTTTTGCTTTTTGTCATAGTATTGCTGTGAAGTTGATATATAAAGCTGCTATATATATATATATGTATATATATATATGCAAGGACATAGCCTATGAAGTATTGTTTAATCTTATTTTTATAACATTTCTTGGGTATTTCTTGAAATAAAAATTGCTTTGCTTTCAGTATGTGACAGATGTAAGACAACTACAAAAACGTATTCAGGAATCTGAAGAAGCAGTTCAGTTTATTAATAAAGAAGAGGAACTTTTCAAATGGGAACTGACAAAATATCCTGAACTGGATAAATTAAAAGTTAACATTGAGCCCTATCAGAAGTTTTTTAATTTAGCTTTGAAGTGGCAACGAACAGAAAAACGGTAATTTCTGGTAATGTAATAAACAGTTCAGCAAAGATACAAAAAGATTTATAAAACATATGTTGATTTTTATTGCTGTTGTTGTTGGCTAAGTGTTTAAAAGTAGGACTTACTGGTCCATTTGATAGAAAAACCAAATATCATATAGGAGAAGCATCAAATGTTCTAGGGTACCACCTAACCTTATTAATATAATATCTAATTAAGTCTCATTTGGGTTTTCCAGATTAGATTTCATTTTTAATGCAGTTACTTGATTTGACTCATGCTCAACACCAAAAATTAGAAGTATGGAGTCAAATCAGCATTTTATTTGGGTACCATTAGTTGTCCACTGACAATCTGATTCATATTTTAGCACATGCAACATAGCTCAAGTGGTGGATTTAGTATTATCTCTGTCATCAGCTCTGTGTGACTGAGAAAAGCAGTTGACTGCTCTTGTTTCAATTACAAAATGAAGGACCTAGCCTGAGGCTTCTTAATACACCAAAAGTCTCTAAATTTAATATTACTTTTTCTCTCAGGTGGATGGATGGAGGGTTTTTGGACCTTAATGGGGAAGCCATGGAAACTGATGTAGAGGAATTTTCCCGGGAAATTTTTAAGACTCTGAAATTTTTCCAAACAAAGCAAAAGAAGGAATTACAGGAAAAAAGAAAAGCAGCAAAAAGACGATCTCTGGAAGAAGAGAAACTTGAAGAAGAACCAAAAGAGAATCCGACCATTGCTATGTGCACTACGGTAATGGAGCAGATAAAAGTTTTTAAGGTAGGAACACGTTTAATGGTATTTTAGAAAGCCCTGCTGGAGATGTCTGTAGCAAGTGCTAATGAAGAGAAATGGAAACACTGGAAAGCAAAACCAAAGCTGAATCCAGAAAACTTGATCTGTTTCTTAATACATGCTTCATTCTGTCCTGAGGAAGTCATCATAATCAGTCCCTTCACAGAACATGCCAGAACATGCTTGACAAATAGAAAAGACTATAATGACCAGGTACACAGATATGAAGAGGATAAAAAAATTACTGAGTAAACAAGTTAGCCTATGCTATGAGCAGTAGCACAGAGTACCAGTTACCTGAGAAGGCTTTGAGGTCATACTGCCTAGGTTTATATCACAATTCTGTGCTTCGTAATGGCAATATGCCACTTGTGTAAGATATTTACCTGTTCATGTCTCAGTCACCTCACTCATAAAGAGAGGATTATAACAGTTTTTGTGGCAGTAAATAATGCATCCAGCTTCCCAAGGCAGTAGTGACAGTGGTTCTAGTCTAGTGGTAATGCCAACGTTTCCACCATCAGTATGCTCAGAGTGAAAACTGTCATGGGATCTTCAGCATACTTGCCTGAAAAAAATTTTAAACTACTTAAAATTATTTTTAATAATTAATAAATATACATGGCTTAAAAATATTAAAAAGATACACCTGAACAATCTCCTTGCTATTTTATTACTTTCTTTTGTATACTTGAGTTTTTTTTTAACACATATAATGATATGAATATATTTTCTAAACCTCCTATCTTTTTACATAAAATTAACATTCTGTATGTATTATTTCCCCCATTGTTTTGGTTAATTTATCTTATAGATCTTCTCTTGTTGTATATAGAGTTTTTTCATTATTTTTTACACCTATAAATATTATATATTGGTGTAAAAATTTCTAAGTATGAAGTGAGAACTGCAAGGTAAATTGCCAAAGAATAAATTTCAGGTTCAAGTCTATAGTTGAATTACCTTCTGTATGGGTTTTACCAATATATATTTGCACCAACCTTGATAACAGAGTGTCATCATACTTGGGTTTTTTGTAATCTACTAGTAGAATTTCATTTTTCTTATTACATAAAGTGTTAAGCATAAGTTAATATATTTAAGAATATTTTTTATTTCTTTGCTTGTGAACTATTTGGTCTTATCATTGTCTATTTTTTTATTTAATAGTTGGTCTTTTTCTTACTGATTTCCAGGGCATAATCAGTTCTGGAAACAGGACTAGGAAAACTAGGCTTTGTATGTTAATATTTTTTGAGAATTTTTGAGATTATATTCAGGAGAGATGTTGGTCTTAATTTTCTTTTAATAGCTTTGTCAAGTTTTGTTATCAGGATTATGTTGACCTTATGAAACAAACGGGAAATTCTATTTTCCAAAAGAGATTTGAATAAAATTGTTATTATTTCTTTTAAAAATATTTTAGAGAAGCATATGCCAGTGATACCATTGACTTGGAACTTTGTGGGAAGGATTTTGAAAGCAGTTTTTATTTTTTCAAAATAGATATGGGAATATTCAGGTTTTGTGTTAATTTTATGTCAGTTTTAGTAAATTGTAATTTTCAAGGAAATCTTCAATTTTTGAAAGCAATTAAATTTATTGCCATTAAGTTACTCATAACATTTATTTATCATCTTTTAATGTTTGTGGAATCTTTAGGAGTAACTCCTTTTTTATTCCAAATATCAGTAATTTTTATTTTCTCTCTTTTTTCTTCAGTTAGATTTTAGTTATAGTTTATTGTCAGCATTTAAGCCTTTTGTCATGTTTTAAATTTATCCAGATGATAAACCACTTTTCCTTTCTTATCAGCAGCATCCATTATTCCTGTCTTCATAGCAGGGCACCATCATAATCTCTGAAAGTCATCTTGAGATGGAAGATAAATTGTCCCATACCACTAGTAGTATCAATAATTTTTTTCCCTGCTATTTTCCTTCTTTATTTTTGGCTGGGGCATGTGTGCTCTTAGTTATTCAACCAGAAATCAAACTTGCGCTCCCTGTTGTCACTAGAACTTCTAATACTATATTGAATAAAAATGGTTAGAGTGAGCAGCTTTGTCTTGTTCCTGAACTTAGAGGAAATGTTTTCAGCTCTTCACCATTGAGTTTGATGATAGCTGTGGGCTTGTCATATATGGCCTTTAATATATTGAGATATGATCCTTCTATACTCACTTTGTTGAGAGGTTTTTTTTTTATTATTATAAATGGATATTGAATTTTGTCAAAAGTTTTTTCTGTATCTATTGAGATGGTCATATGATTTTTATTCTTTAATGTGGTTAAAATTGATTACTTTGCAGATATTGAATCATCCATGTATCTCTGGGATAAATCCCACTTGATCATGATGTATGATTCTTTTAATTAATTGCTGAATTTATTAATATTTTGTTGAGGATTTTTGCATCTATGTTCATCAGTGATGTTTGCCTGTAATTTTTTGTGTGTGTGTGTTGTCTTTGGTTTTGGTATCCAGGTGGTAACTGGTCTTGTAGAATGAATTTGGAAGCATTCCTTTCTCTGCAATTTTTTTGGAATAGTTTCAGAAAAAGTGTTAATCCTTCTTTAATTATTTGGCAGAATTCACCTGTGAAGCCATCTTGCCTGGGCTTTTCTTTGTTAGGCATTTTTTTATTACTAATGCAATTTCATTACTGATAGTCTGTTCATATTTTCTATTTCTTCCTTATTCAGTCTTGGAAGATTTTATGTTTCTAGGAATTTATTAACTTTTTCTAGGTTTTCTATTTTATGGTGTATAATTATTTGCAGTAGTTTTTTATGATCCTTTGTATTTCTGTGCTATCAGTTGTAACCTCTCTTTCATTTCTGATTTTATTTATTTGGGCTCTCTTTTTTTTTCTTAATGAGTTTGGTAAAAGGTTTATCAATTTTATCTTTTAAAAGAACTAGCTCTTAGCTTCATTGATCTTTTTCTTTTTTCTTTTTAGTTTCTATTTTATTTATTTCCACTCTGGTCTTCATTATTTCCTTCCCACTACTGTCTTTGGGTTTTGTTTGTCCTTCTTTTCCTAGTTCCTTCAGGTTAAGGTTAGACTGAGAATTTTCTTATTTCCTGAGGTGGACTTGTTTGCTGTAAAATTTCCTCTTAGAACTGCTTTTACTGTGTCCCATAGATTTTGGAATATTATGTTTTCATTTTCATTTGTCTCATGGTATTTTAAAATTTCCTGTTTGAGGTTTTCAGTGATGCATTGACTCTCTCTTTTTGTGGTAACTGTTATGTGGTTTTAGTTTGTAGTTACCAGGAGGTTAATTTATAACAACCTATTATAGATGTCTGTTTTAAGTGGATGATTTCTTAAGTTTGAATACCTTACATTTTTACTAATCTCCCCAAATATTTTATCATTTTTACATCTGTTAATTTTTGCCTTAAGTGCTATTGCAGATAGAGATGATTTTTACTGCTTTTGTCTTTTAACTTTCCTCCTGGCTTTATGAGTGGTTAATTAAATACTTTTTCCCAGGTTTGCCTTTACCAGTGAGATTTTTCCTTTTACAATTTTGTTTATCTATACTTGTTATTTCTTTTAACATTTGTTACAAGATCTGTTTGGTGGTGATAAACTTCTTTTACCTTTTTGCTTGTCTGTGAAAGTCTTTGTCTCTTCTTCAGAGATAAAGATAAATCTGAAAAATAACCTTTCCAGGTAAAGTTTTCTTGGTTGTAGTTTTTTCCTTTCATCATTTTGAATATATTGTTCTATTTCCTTCTGCAGAGTTCCTGCTGAAAAGTCTGCTTAAGGTCTTATGGGAGTTCCTTTGTACAATACATAACTAGTTGCTTTTCTCTTGTTGCTTTTAAGATTCTCTCTTTAATTTTCATCGTTTTAATTATAATGTGTCTTGGTGTGGACCTGTTTGGGTTCATCTTGTTTGAGATTTTTCTGTGCTTCCTAGAGGAGGATATTTATTTCCTTCTCTAGGTTAGGGAAGTTTTCAGCTAATATTTCCTCAAAGAAGTCGCTCCTCCTTTCTCTCAATTTTCTCCTTCTGGGGCCCCTATAACATGAAAGTGAGTACACTTGATGTTGTCTCAGAAGTCTCTCAAATTATCATTGTTTTTTAAAATCCTTTTTTTCTTTTTTCCTGCTTAGCCTGGGTGATATCTGCTACTCCATCTTCCAAATCACTGATCTGTCCTTCTGTATTATCCTGTCTACTGTTGGTACTTTCTAGTATGTTTTTCATTTCAGTTAATATATTCTTCAGCTCTGACTGGTTCTTCTTTATATTTTCTAACTCTTAGTTGAGATTCTGTGTTTGTCCATTCTTCTTCTAAGTTCATTGGGCATCTGTATATTACCTTGAACTCTATATTGGGTAGATTGCTTATTTGCATTTAATATAGTTCTTCTTCTGAGGTTTTGTCTTGTTAGTTTGCTTGGAACATATTCCTCTTGTCTCCTCGTTTTGCCTAATTCCCTGTGGTCATGTTTGTATATTGACTAGGACTGTTAGGTCTCTTGATCTTGGAGAAGTGACATTATATAGGAGACATCCTATATGGCCCAGCAGCACACTGCGTTCTGGCACTAGACCTGTCTGCTCCCGGGGTGTCTCCTATTCATACCACGTGCTTCCTTACGTTGTGGAAGGGCTAACTGTTGAGGGTATAAGTGGGGCTGGCCCTTGGCCTGTCTGGCTGCATTGCTGTGGCTCATGCAGTTGTTGTCAGTGCCCTGGTGGGCACGGCGGTCTCCTGGTGAGGCTGACTTGCGCTGGGCACTGCCCCTGCTTCAGGCTCATTGTGGGTGGGGCAGCCTCTTTCTGTGTTTGACTGTGTAGCCTGGTGGCGCACAGTTTCTGTGGGCCCTCCAGGGGCCAGGGCAAGCATCCAGCACTAACAGGCTAGAGGGAGAATTCCTAAGTGGTACTTGCTGGTGATCCTCACAATGGCTGCCACCTGCATCTCGGTCCCCAGGGCGAGTCCCGGAGGCCTCCTGCCTCTCTGATAGGCTCTCCAAAATCAGCAAGTGGGTCTGACACAGGTGCCTCTCAAATTTCTGCATCTTTGCTGGAACTTGGACCATGTGGGCTTCTGCCTGTACCCTTTAAGAGCATAGTCTTTGTTTCCTATAACCTCTGTCTCTCCTGCATGGAAGCCCAACTGGCTTTCAAAGCCAAACATTCTGGAGGCTTGTCTTCCCAGAGCCAGACCTCCAGGCAGGGGGCCCAAAGTGGGCCTTAGACCCCGGGCTCCTTGGAGAGGAGCTCTGCAGCGGTCGTGTTCCTTTCACTCTGTGTCACTGACCCAGGGTTTGGTTTCCGGCCAGGCTGCATCTCCACCCCTTCTGCCTATTTCATTGTCATTCCTTCTTTGCCCGTCTGAGGAGCTGAGTTCAGGGCCTTCCTACACTGCCATCTTGATCCCACTCCTGCTCTGTAGCTTTTATTCATTTATACTACTTCAAGTGGCTGAGAGACTCAATGCAGTGTTGATTAGAAGTATTACGGGTGTGCTTGTTTGTTCCTGATTGTAAAGGAAATGTTTTAATATCAGTATCGAAAGTGATGAATCAAGAGTTTTTGCTGAGTATTTTTTTATTTCCAGATGGTTATATTTTGATATTTTGGTGCAGGCTTTTTTCCCATTTACACTATGTATGTGTGTATATATTTATATATTATGTTATACTACATATTTCTCCATATAATTATAGAATAAACATGACTTTGTATTTCTATAATACTGTGATAATTTTAATTATTGTAGGCCTAGCATATACTTTAATATCTTACAGGACATTTACCACCACCCCTCCTTTTTTCACACTTGTAGTTTTCTTGGCTATTTCTACATGTTTATTTGTGCAGATGAACTTTAGAATAATTTTGTTAGTTTCTCTCCCCTCCTGAATCTAACTCATTAAACATTAAATGAGCTCATTAAATATATTACATAATTTCAAGTGTATGAGCATGAAAGTCAAGTGAGTGACTCATTATTGTTTCTATTTTCACCATTAGGATTACATCCCTACAGTCTCTATCCTTTGCAATCCAGGAATGAGAGCACGTCATTGGAAGCAGTTATCAGAAATTGTAGGCTATGACTTAACTCCAGACTCTGGAACTACACTGAAGAAAGTTTTAAAATTAAACCTTGCACCATACTTGGACAAATTTGAAGTGATAAGTGCAGGTGCAAGCAAGGTAAATATGCAGATCAACTGAAATACCTTATTTGATGAGTTTGTTAATTAAATAATCATAGTTTTAGTTGTGGTTGAATGTATAGTTTGGGATAGCAGTCGGAGAACCTGGGGAAAAGTGGTAGAAGGCCATTCATATTTTTCCCCCACAAAGTCTGTACTTCTGTATGATTCCCTTGTCCTGAATCCAGAGTAGAAATGGTTCCTTTGACCTCTTCTTAATTCTGCCACATTCTGATATGCATGGATGATATGCTAGTCTTGATATGTATTTTTTCCCATTAAGAATGGAAATGGATGCCTGTGTATGTGACATGTGATATGTATGTATTCTAGGCAGAGTAAGTATGGCCCTGTAGTCTTCTTGAATACACTGAAAACATCTTCAGACTGTAGACTGAAAAAAGGCACCTCATTGAAAATCCAGCATGTCTTTCATACTGTTGTCTGTTTTGATACTGACAGCTTTGAAAACAAGTGAATTTTTAAAAACTACGTTGTCATTCACCATAGGAATTGTATAGTTGTTTAAAACATTTTCTAACTTAAAGACAGTTGTAGAATATCTTACAAAAATGCACCAAATGCTTACTAAATTCACTAGGGAAAGTCCATACATATAGTAAATAAGATTCCTTATTCATCATCCCATTCTTTTTTTTATCCTGTTTAGGAATTTTCATTAGAGAAAGCCATGCATACAATGATGGGAACTTGGGATGATATTACTTTTCATATAAGTTTATATCGTGATACTGGAGTCTGTATTCTTTCTTCAGTAGATGAGATTCAGGCTCTCCTTGATGATCAAATTATAAAAACTCAGACAATGAGAGGCTCACCGTTCATCAAACCATTTGAAAAGGAGATCAAGGTTTGTTAAATGTGATAATCAACTCCTGGTCATTTATAAAGATTGAAATTTATTACATATTTACTCTCGTGGGAATAAGTAAATTTGTTGGATAGCTTTGTTGAAATACAGGAACAGATATCTACCTTAAAATTAATGTGAAAATATGTAGAACAGATGAGACATTAATGGTTTTGAAAATGATGTTTTATTAAGAAAAATCATAAAACAAATGATGTTTTATTAAGAAAAATCTTTTCCAATGACAGTGATAGATTTGGAAGGAAAACAGTTGGTATTATTTAATCTAACTTTAGATAGCCTAGGCCCTGTTTCATAGGATGTTCTTGTAACTTTTAGTGAAGTTCTATATACAGTACTTTGTATTTGAGAACTAGCTTGAGAACCCTTTAGAATAATTAATGAATTATTTTCCACTTAAGAAAACAAGTGATATTTGAGACTGTAAGATTATTTAATGTCATGACCTTATAGTTGATGTGGGTAAATACAGAAAGCAAATAAATTATAATAACTAGGAGCTTTAGTATCACTATTCTAACTGGAGACTATATAAAGTGGAGAAAAGATCAACAACAACTGGATTTTCTCCCTAGTATGTATTGACTTATAAATATGTGCCAGATACTACTCTAGGAGCTTTACAATTATTAACTCATTTAATCTGCAGAGCAGACAACCAGTTTAGGCACATTATTATCAGTATTCATAGATAAGGAAACCAAGGATAGAAAATTTACCCAAGTTCACACAGCTAAAAATGACAAAGCTGAAATTCAAAATAAAGCAGTCTGGTTTTAATTTAAGCATAGTGTTGTTATGGGGCACCTTAGCTTTGAATATTTGGAGAAGACAAAGAGTTATGTTCTTCTAAAAGGCCTGCACATCTTGCCTTGATTCAAGCTGACTTAACCCTTTCCTGATAAGATGTCTTTTGCAAGTACTTCTTCTTTGACAAGGGAGGATTTATAAGACAAATTTGAAAGCTCTCTTAGAGGTTTTCAAACAAAAATGTGAGGCCAATCTCTTGATATATAGGGTCTCAAGCCATAGATTTAAGAATCAAAGAGAGATTATATACATGATGCTTGGCTAAAGAAATATCTAATGGATTCTTGGAGATGTGTGGTAATAAGATTCCCCCCTCCAAATTGTGTTGATGTAGAGCAAATTGTGTTGACCTTTCTCAACGTGGCACTAATGACATTTTGGGGTAAATAATTCTTTGTTGTGGAAGTTGTCCTGTATTTAGCAGCATCCATGACCTTTGTCCACTTGATATAAGTAGAACCCTCACCCTACTAGTTGTGACAAATGAAAATGCCTCCAGACATTGTGAAATGTCCTTTGGGGTGAGGGCAAAATAGCCCCTAGGTTGATAACCACTGGTGTGGGGCAGGATATATTCCTGGATGCTTTTTAAAGTTGAGACAGTTCACCTAGGGATTAGGAAATTGGTCTAAATAACTATAGTCATTTACAGTTGTGAGTTTCAATGATTTAGGAAAACTTCAGACCTCCTAGTTTTTCAAAGCCAGTGTGAGACACCCACAAGTGACTTTGAGCTGTTTTGCACTGATTCAAAAATAACAGTGAATTTAAAATGCATAGCATTTGTTATAATTTATAGGTTTCCTTTAATAACTGTAATTCAGCATAATATGCTTTCCTTTAAGGCCTGGGAGGACCGTTTGATTCGAATACAAGAAACAATTGATGAATGGTTAAAGGTACAAGCTCACTGGCTATACTTGGAGCCCATTTTTTGCTCTGAGGATATCATGCAACAGATGCCAGAAGAAGGGCGTCAGTTTCAGACAGTAGACAGACACTGGAGGGATATCATGAAGTTTTGTGCGAAAGATCCAAAGGTGAAGCATTTGTTTTCTCTCTTTCAAATAAATAGGAAACCTTTATTTCTGGCTATTAGAAAAGGCATTTCACTTTTTTTCCAACTACAGAAATAAAACCTACTCGTTGTGTACAAACTGGAAAGCTCAGGAAAATAAAGGAAGCGTAAATAACTTTACTTTTCAGTTCTTATGATACACTGTTCATAACCCTTTAGTATGCATAATGGAGCTGCTTCAAATGTGCATTTAACTTACTTGACTTCTAGAATGTATACTCCATGCTTTCTCTTGTAAAATAAATAGTAAAATAAAATGAAGAAAGCAAGAGGGTGGGGGAGAGAGAGGGAAAAGAGAGAGAGAGAATGAATATGATTGGATGACTCACATCCATGAGTCAGGTGACTCACCTGACATTCTACTCCGTGACTCTATATGCTTGCAGTGATGGGAAAGAGAGTCGGCAGTTCTGTCAGCTGGTCTCACTTGCTATGTGTCTCTCCTAGTGAGTATAGCACCCTGTTGAATGTGATTTTAATGTTGAAAGGCAGACCAGGTATTTTTCACACATAGATATATATACCAAAAAAATCTGGTACCCAACTGATAAATAACATTTTATTTCAATGCTGGATGAAAAAGTAGCTGTGCTGGACTTTTGAGAGTCAATAGTACTAAAATTTATGTTTGAAAGATTTCCCTTACGTGTTGATTTTAGAACCTTTCTAGGACATTATTTCTTAGAGAACTGAAATCAGAAGTTTTTTTTTTTTTTTTTCTGCAAAGGGTTGCATGGTAAATACTTGAGGCTTTATGAGACCTACTGTGTTTTTTATAACTACTCAATTCTGCTATTGTAGCAAGAAAGCGGCCAAAGACAATATGTAACTGAATGGATGTGTCCATGCAATAATGTAACTGTTTGTGGACACTGACATTTTCATGTGCCATGAGATGGTTTTCTTCTTTTAATTTATTGAACCTTTTAAAAGTGTAAAAATAGAATGTTTATAGTTGACAGTTGTAAATGTAAAAATTAAATCACAAACAAAGCTTGCATATTCTTCCCCTATCATTCAAAAGAATACAGGAAGAATGAAAATATGTATGACAATCATAATTTCTCATTTACAGCTATCAACTTTGGGTAAGAATACTTATGATTTACTGAATTTTAATAGTTTTACATTATGAAAAACTTCCTGACAATTTTCATAGGTCTTTTGACATCTTAACATTTTTGAGGTATAAGTTAATGTTGAGATCTTATCATTATATCAGGTTCTGACCTGAATGAATGGGTTTCTTTTAGGTTCTTGCTGCTACTTCTTTAACAGGTTTACTGGAAAAACTGCAGAACTGCAATGAACTTTTGGAGAAAATTATGAAAGGCCTTAACGCATATCTTGAAAAAAAAAGACTTTTCTTCCCTCGGTATGATGAATAATCAATTGTGTTATCATTAAAGCATTTTCTGAGGTGCAATGAATTATAACTAAAACTTTTGTCTTTGCATGGTTTTCCCTAGTTTTTTCTTCTTATCTAATGATGAAATGCTAGAGATTCTGTCAGAGACCAAAGATCCACTTAGAGTTCAGCCTCACTTGAAAAAATGCTTTGAAGGCATCGCCAAATTGGAGTTCCTTCCCAATTTGGATATTAAGGCCATGTATAGCTCTGAAGGTGAGCGAGTGGAGCTGATTGCACTAATTTCCACGTCTGCAGCTCGAGGTGCCGTGGAAAAGTGGCTCATTCAAGTAGAAGATTTGATGCTTCGAAGTATTCATGATGTGATTGCTGCAGCCAGGCTGGTGTGTTTCCTAGAATTTAATGTATATCCTATATTCTGTAATTCTCTCTTTTTTTTTTTAGGAGATTTTTGAATGAGTACCAGTAAATTAACACTTAAGGGTCTTACTCTTAAGCCATTTATTGTTTGTTTTTTTTTTACTCTGTTCCTAACATTATTATTAAAGTAATAATGGTAGTAAGAATTTATAATAGTGTGCGATTAGGTGCTCAAAAAAGAAAAAAGGTGCTATGAGAAAGAGTAATAAGGTGTATCTGATTTGGAGTGGAGGAGGTAGGTTACTAGTGATAGGCTCTTAGAGAAAGTAAAATTGAAAACAAGACCCAAAGGGTAAGTAGGAATTAACCAAATAGAGAGCAAATGGAAGATCATCTAGGGTATCCTGTGTGAAGGCCCTAGGGTCAGAAAGAATCTCAGACAATTACTTAAAAACTCAAAATGAGATAAACAAACATTAAAGGAGGATCTAAAATACTTGAGAGAAATATAGCACATAGGCACTACATGTACCTCACTTAGGCTAATTCAATTAACCATACTTGAATGGTAATAAATTTCAGCATGTTTCTTCCTCTAGGGTCACAAAGGAACAGTTGTACAGTAAAAATACCATTTAAGAGGCATTGCAGGGCCTTCCCTTGTGGGTCTGTGGCTAGGACTCTGAGCTACCAGTGCAGGGGGCCTGGGTTTAATCCCTGGTCAGGGAACTAGATCCCACATGCAGTCTTACAAGCTGCAACTTAAGTCCTGGCTCAGCCAAATAAATATATGTTTTTTAAAAAAAAGGCATTGCAGCCTTATATCCAACAACTCACTTTGAGTAAGAATCCTTTTTCCTTTTTCCTTCACCAAGAGCCCTATGAGAATCATCTTATAGTGTCTATTCTGTTCAGGTTCAAATTTCCTGCAGATAAATCTTGACTTTTTCTCTCCATCTTCTATCTCTGATTCCAAAGCACAAAGGAAAAAAAAATCAACATTGTCCATGAAAGTATTTCCTTAATCCATATAGAAACTTACCTTCTGTGTACCTAGCAATGGCTCATCCACTCTTTGAAACTTAACCTTCTTTGAAACCTAGGTTAGTTTGTTATTTGCATTTATTCATAAATATTTATAAATATTATAAATGTTTGGTATTTTTAAAATGTCATGGATTTCCTTAGTGTGGCTCAGACAGTAAAGAATGACCTGGGTTGGGAAGATTCCCTGGAGAAGGGCATGACTACCCACTCCAATATTCTTGATTGGAGAATTCCATGGAGAGAGAAGCCTGGCAGGCTACAGTATATGGTATCACAAAGAGTCAGACAAGACTGAGCAACTAACACTTTCACTTTTTTCATAAATATTACTAAAAATGCATTTTAATAGTTAATATTTATATCCTATGCTTCCTTTGTGGCTCAGCTGGTAAAGAATCTGCCTGCAGTGCGGGAGACCTGGGTTCAATCCCTGGGTTGGGAAGATCCCCTGGAGGAGGAAATGGCAACCCACTCCAGAATTCTGACCTGGAGAATTCCATGATCTGTGTAGTCCATTGGGTCACAAAGAATCGGACACAACTGAGCAACTTCACTTTCACTTTCATCCTTAATGCTTAATATTTTTATATCCAAGATGGTGTCATTGTATTACAAATATAGTTTCCAGGGAATTCCCTGGTGGTCCAGGGGTTAGGACTTGGTGCTTTCACTGCCGTGCCCTGGGTTCAATCCTTGGTCAAGGAACTAAGATCCCACAAGCTATGCAACACAGCCAATAAATAGATAAATATGTGTATACACATGGATATAAATTCCATTAGTATCAGCTTTATACTTTGCTCTGCGTTTTTTTTTCCAGCTTTTAATTTAGTTCTGTTATCGTTTACTTTTGAAACAAGTTATTTTAAAAATTTTATTTATTTTTATTTTTTAATGGTGGAACATTGCCTTAAAATGTGTTGGTTTGTGCTATACGACAACATGAGTCAGTCATAATTGTATTTGTATCTCCTTCCTCTTGAGCCTCTCTCCCCTCCTCCCATCCCACTGCTCTAGGTCATCACAGAGCACCAGGTGGCACAAATTATTTTTAAAGGACCACCCCTCCAATAAATCCATTTAAATGCATTTTGAACATAAAACATTTTGGAAGAAATGAAAGTATACTTTGAACTCATAGCATAGATTGTTCAATTGTGTATAACTGGAAAAATATATAATTGTTCAAATTATATACACTGGTCATACAAGTTTTTATAAAAACTATGGATAAATAATACAAGGGTTCTAGCTACTAAGTCAGTCTAGCTACAAGATGGTGTAGTCTTCCTTTCAGTTAAATCTTGGCATCAATATATGTAAGTTGCTAGACTGATTTATTTTTTAAGTTTAATAAACCCTCATATCTCATTATGATAGAAGTAATGTGTATATTATGTAGAAAACTGACAACTCCCCACAGCAAAGAAACATAAAAATCCTATGGAAAATAGCTTTCCGAAGAATCAACAGATTCTTCCAGAGATAACTGATTATTGACATATGGGTGCTCATCTTTCTATTCTTTTATCAATAAACAAATATTTTAAAAATATGACTTGTAAAAAAATTTCAGATCTTTTAAAATAGTCATCTAAAATTTTTCATGAATATAGTCTAGCCTACAAATGTAACCAATACCATACTTACTTACTGTTAATCATTAAGCTTTTTTCCTCTTGTCACCTTTTAAACTTAGAAATACACTTTAATCATTCAGGCTTATCCAGAATCTGCAAGAAGAGACTGGGTTCGAGAGTGGCCTGGCCAAGTGGTACTTTGTGTTTCTCAAATGTTCTGGACCTCTGAGACACAGGAAGTTATAAGTGGTGGAACGGAGGTAAAGCATTATTTTAAATAACATTCTTTTCTACATGCTATGTTTTTTTATTTTTATTTTTAGTTAGCTTATTTATCATTTTCAAGGGCAGTCTTCCCCCACTTTCTACGTGTAGCATTAAAATTGCACAATTATTTAAAAATTTGTTCTTAATTTTTATTATGCTTAGACAAAACTCTCTTCTAGAATTCATTTTTATATTGAGCTACATTGTGAAGTCAGAATCATTTTGTTAAAGAGTAGGTATATAAAATGCACACTTTTTCTACTATATAATGTTAGTTTAATTGCTTTTTTATTTTGTAGGGATTAAAGAAGTACTATAAGGAACTTCAGAATCAACTAAATGATATTGTGGAGCTGGTAAGAGGAAAACTATCAAAGCAGACCAGGATTACTCTGGGGGCTTTGGTTACTATCGATGTCCATGCTAGAGATGTGGTCATGGACATGATTGATATGGGTATGTGACTTCTTTTTAATATTGAAGATAAAATATTGATAGTTTCTAGAAACAAGAACTTATAAGTCTTTTTCTCATTCAGCAAAATTTATTTTATATGATCTTTTCTATAAATTAGAAAATGTGAATTATTTTAATGTTAATACTTTTGTAAACAATGATAAAATATCTAGTTTTCAAATTATTTCCATTTCAGGATTATGTGTCTTGTTTTACTTTATTCCTTCCAGGCGTCTCAAATGATACAGATTTCCAGTGGCTTGCTCAGCTTCGGTATTATTGGGAATATGACAACGCTCGAGTTCGTATCATTAATTGCAATGTAAAATATGCTTATGAATATCTTGGTAACTCACCTCGACTTGTCATTACTCCTCTAACTGACAGATGTTACAGAACATTGGTATGTGTTTAAATTATTTTAATTTACACATTAAAGATTGCTATTTGATTTGGTGTCATATTTTCATGTCCAAATTTAACATGGCTATCCTTATTTCATTCTCTTATCTGTATAGTAGACTATAGCTATAGTCAAAGGAAGGATAGCTTCCTTTCCTAATCCCAAATTCCCTTTATGTGAAGTTATAATAATGAATATTTACTTCTGAGTGCTTTAGTAGAATATGAGTGTGTTTGAATTCTAATGTTTGAAAATCATGAGCCACACTCCCTTTGGGGGTAATTAGAAAAAGGAAGGTACTGGAGATTTAAAGAAAAAGCCAGAGCTTCAGAAAATGACATCAGTTCTGGGATGGGTGGAGTTCTCCCATCTCTCCATCAGTGGAGTTCTGGGAGAGATGACAAGATGAAGGAAGTACGTTTGAGCCTTAGAACTCCAAGTTAGTGTTGTTGAATAGGAGAGGGAGAGCTGAAGTGTAAGCAGGTGATACTGAGGGCTGTCCTTGTTGGGAAGCTATGGAAGATAAAGCCATGACTACAAAACAAACAAGCAAAACACCTCTGGGAATAGTGTTGTCAGATAAAATACAAGACTTTCAGGTTAATTTGAATTTCAAATCAATAGCAAAAAATTTGTTAGTAGAAGTATGTTCTAATTATTACATGGGCATACTTATACTAACAAATTATCCATTGTTTATCTGATTTTCAAATTTAACTGGGCATCCTGTATTTTTATTTGCTAAACCTGGCAACCCTATCTGGGAATTGAGGGGGAGACTCAATAAACAACCTAGAGGGGCAGGATGGGGTGGGAGGTTTGTATGCCTGTGACTGATTCATGTTGGTGTATGGCAGAAACCAACAAAATACTGTAAAGCAATTATCCTTCCATTAACAAAAAAGAAACATCAATCCACTTGTAAGTTAAAGTGTCTTTGAGTTGTCTGTACGCAGAGATAAAACGGGGGTTATTGGGCAAATGATTGTCTAGGGAATGTTCTCAGTAAAAGCCTGTAAGAAAATGAAGAAAGCAGAGGGGGAAGCTAAGCAAGGATGTGGTTTCTGTGGATGTACAGCCTAGCCTGATCTCACGGGGAGCTTTGGAGCATGAATGGCATCACAGACATACTTCACTTTAAGGCAAAGAGGTCTAACTTTTCTATCCCTTTATTGTCACCGGCTATGGGTCCCTCCTGAGCTAAGGGTGTGAATAAGCATTCAGATGTTTGTGAATGAGGGAGTTCCTGACTGAGGGCAAATCTCAGGAGACAAGGACAGTTGTGAGCTACTTGTAGATGACACCCACAGCAATCGGAAGGATGGAAGCAATGAACAGTGAAAGAATCTGAGTACAATTGTAGTGCATCTGTGATAAAATATTTCACCAAATCCTCTTTCTCAAGAAGCTACCTAAAGGCCGGACCGTGTCTGTCTTGTCCTCTGCTCTAGTGATGGACAAGTACATAAGTTACTCCCTAGGATTTGTTGAGTAAATGAATCTCAAGCTGCTGTGTCCTGTCTCAGAGCTCACTGAAGTGAGCTGTGAATATTTGTAAGATGGACGTTAGCAACTTTGAGGCATAAAATCAAAATCACATTAAACCCTTGTATACAACACTGAACACTGGGAAAATCTCCTACTGTAGTTAATATCCATGATAAAGGGAACACATTTATAAGCATTTTGGGGAAATTTTTATAAAGAAAGGAGAGACTGAGGTTTTTAGCAGTCACATTAATGGACATTAACAGTATAGCATTTACTACAAATGTATGATGGGTAAAGTATCATAGATATTGGATTTATTTAATAAGTTGTCTCTGTTGTTTGATTTTTGTGAAAATATTTAAGGTTTTCATAGGTCTATTCATTATTTTTTAAAATGCTTAGTTTCTTAGAGCAGTTTTAGGTTCACAGAAAAATTAAGCAGAAGGAATAGAGAGTTCCCGTATACTCCCTGTCCCGCCATATATACAGTCTTGGCCCTTTAACCCTATTTTATCTAAAAGTAGTTAAGTTTCACAAACTCTCATAGAGTTTTTCATGAAACAAATTTCACAGTTAGAGTTGACTGTAACTTGTACGCTTCTAAGGATTTCCAGTCATTGTTACAGTCATTGTGCAGACTCAGAAAGAATTCAGATACTGCTGATGTTACTCTTAAGGAACCTAAAAACTAATTGAGAGGGGGAAAAAATGTACTTAGTTAACTGTAATGTAAGTGCTACTGAACTACGTTCAGTTGCCTAACTCATCACAGCAAGCCAAACGCTGAAATGCTGAGGTTTGCAGCAGAGAAAGTGTTTATTCACAGAGCAACCAAGCAAGGAGACAGGAAAACAACTTAGATCTCCCCCCTTGAAGGCGAAGGGCTCAGGGTATTCATGGGATAAAGCTGAGGTATGGGAAGCATGGGGAGGCTGTTGTCCCTCTGCTCGCATGCAGCCAGGCCACAGGCTTTTTCATAGCTGCAAAGCTCAGAAAGGAGTGGAGTTAGCTTGCTCTGAGGGTGGAGTTTTTGGCCTCTGACATCAAAAGGTCACTGAGCTGACACTTGCCGCTGTCCAGATGGAGGATGGGTGGTCTTAACCCTCTGAATCAGCTCAAGCTTGATTTGACACAGAAGACTCCAGATGTGTACAAAAACAGCTTGGGCTACCACCCTGGTGCCCAGGCTACACTTGGAAGATATGCCAGCTTGTGGGAAAACAATAAAAGTGGAGTCCATGGGCACAGGCTGGTCAGAGTTTACCATGCATCAGTGGATAACTGGTAACTGGTTTCATAATGAAGGTGATACTACTGGTTAGAGAATACAGAGAGGTGCTATGGGGATGGAGAAAATGAAGAACATACCAAGAGTGGAATGATTACCAGAGCGAATCATAGACAAAAGTATATAGTAGGGCATCTCTTTTTTTTCCCACTAATGGGCCTCCATGCCTTACCGTCCGTTTTTGGTGTTTTCTCTCTTTGCAGCTAGCTATCAAGATTGTCATAATTGGTCTCTACAACCATTTCTGGAAGCAGTTTTTTTTTTTTTAAGTGACATGTTATTTTTAATGTTTATTTCTTTATTTTTGGTGTGCTGCACAGGCAAGTTGCGGCAAGCGGGGGCTACTCTCTAGCTGAGGCACACGAGCCTCCCGCTGGCGTTGGCTTCTCTTGCTGCAGAGCGGAGGCTCGGGGGCGCTCAGGCTTGAGAAGCTGAGGCTCCCGAGCTCTAGAACACAGGCTGTAGTTGTGGTGCATGGGCTTACTTGCTCCGAAGCATGCAGAATTTTGCCAGATCAGGAATCACCCCCATGCCTCTTGCATTAGCAGGCAGATTCTTTACCCTTGAGCCACCAGGGAAGCCCTCCATAAGCACTTTTAATTAAACTTTTCTGATCAAATGTTAACACTTCAAGGCTGGATTCTCTTTGTTTCTAAAAAGGCAAATGGAATACATATGAAGTATTAGACGATAAGGAGATTCTCATACATTTTAACTTTTTTTAGATCCTTTAAACCACTTTCTCTTGGTGCTGCTACAGAAATGAGTTCTAAAAACCAATGATGTGTGTAATTGCATTACGGCCTCTGAAGCTACAAATAAGACTGAGTCCATTTTATTCATATATGCAATTGTCCTATGGTAGGGTTTTTGTTTGTTTGCAGTTAAGCATGAATTTCTTTTCACATTTATTTTTCTTTTCAGATAGGTGCCTTCTATTTAAACCTTGGAGGTGCTCCAGAAGGGCCAGCAGGTACGGGGAAAACGGAAACCACCAAAGACTTGGCTAAAGCTCTTGCCGTACAGTGTGTGGTGTTCAACTGCTCAGACGGGCTCGATTACCTAGCAATGGGAAAGGTAAAGTTACACATCAGATATTACAAGTAGTTTATTGTAAGGTCTAACTGCATAAGCCGAAGCAAATTCATATTTTAAACACTGATTGTGGTTTATGCATTGTTTGAGCTCTTTTTTTTTTTTTTTTAATGGGTAAAGGCATTGTTTTTACCCCTTTGGGGTTTTTATTGAGCTTAACTTTCAGTTTTGACTTAAAAGCTTCGCAGGTTTCTCACACAGTAAAGAATCTTCCTGAAATGTGGGAGACCAGAGTTCGATCCCTGGGTTGGGAAGATCCCCTGGAGGTGGAAATGGCAATGTTTTCCTGTATTCTTGCCTGGAGTATTCCACGGACAGTACAGTCGACTCGCCAAGAGTCAGACGTAACTGAGCAACTAACACTCACACTTCAATTTTGACTTAAAAGGTTAAATATTTGTTTTAACAAAAGATGCCCTTTCCTATGAAAATCATTGTTTTTCTTGTCCTTAGTTTTTTAAAGGATTGGCTTCTTCTGGTGCTTGGGCTTGCTTCGATGAATTTAATCGAATTGAGTTGGAAGTGCTGTCAGTGGTAGCTCAACAGATCCTTTGCATTCAGAGAGCCATTCAGCAGAAGCTGGAAGTGTTCACTTTTGAAGGGACAGAACTTAAGCTCAATCCAAACTGTTTTGTAGCTATTACCATGAATCCCGGCTATGCAGGACGTTCTGAATTACCAGATAATCTTAAGGTAATATCTATTTTCTAAAGAGTGTAAATTTGGTAATCAGCATAATCTACTCAAAATGGTACAGTTTTCTCACATGTATTTGTAATCTCCCTTTTACCTTTTCCATTTGCTCTAAGATAAACCTGTAAAGATTTTTTTTTAATGTCTAAAAAAATATTAGAATGTTAGAGTACATAAAACTGCTGAAATGCTACTGAACAAATTAAAGAGCTAATGAAAAGGTGCTACACGGGGGGAATAAACTTGACTGTCAGCCCTTTATCTTTGGGTGCTTGTGCTCGGCTTTAAAACCTGTTTCCTTTATGCAAATAATATATTTCACTTGTTTTATGCTTCAGGTTCTTTTCAGAACAGTGGCTATGATGGTTCCAAACTATGCCCTCATAGCAGAAATCTCCCTCTACTCCTATGGATTTCTGAATGCAAAACCTCTGTCTGTGAAGATAGTAATGACCTATAGGCTCTGCTCAGAGCAGCTCTCATCACAGTTTCATTATGACTATGGAATGCGAGCAGTAAAAGCAGTTTTAATAGCCGCTGGAAACCTAAAACTAAAATTTCCAAATGAAAATGAAGATATACTTGTAAGTATTAAATATATATGTTGTGAAGGTTTCCATAAAAAGATAATTTTTTTTCAGCAAGGTTGATTGTGAACTATAGATAGGCAGATAAGAGTTGTTGCTTTGAGCCTTTTTATGTAGGGTTGAAATGACAGTTTTGAGATTCTGGTTTTCATTATAATTTGTAGGAATCCAAGGACCTTTCTGTTTGATAAGTGTAGTACTGGCTTTTTAGTATAGGGATTCCATGAAATAATATAAAACAAACTTTGACTTTGGTGAGGTAGGGGCAGGAGGAGGGCCAATACTGGCAATTTAATCTGTATTGCACTTTTTGATTGATTTTTAGCTTCTTCGATCAATTAAAGATGTAAATGAACCAAAGTTTTTGTCACATGATATACCCTTATTTAATGGAATAACTAGTGACTTATTTCCTGGTGTTAAACTTCCTGAAGCTGACTATAATGTAAGTAAACCTCTGAGAATGACTTGTTCTTCACATAAATTCATCTGGTGACTCAGTAGTTTTTTGAGTTTCATTAAATGAGTGAATTATACTGTTAGGAAGATAAACCTCTATTTTGGCCACTCTGATTAATAAGGAAGAGTACATTTTAGTGTGTGTGCCTAGTTGTTCAGTCGTGTCTGACTCTTTGCAACCCCATGGATTATAGCCTGCCGTGTTCCCCTGTCCATGGGATTTCCCAGGCAACAGTACTGAAGTAGGATGCCATGCCCTTCTCCAGGGAAATTTTAGTACTTTATGTTATGTGATACCAGGTTAACAAGTTTCAGGTCAAAGATAATGTTACCATAAGAGAACACATTTTATCTCCTGCATTCTATCTCATGATTTATAATATTTACTACTAAATATACTCCCCTGGTGGCTCAGATTGTAAAGAATCTGCCTGCAATGCAGGAGGCCTGGGTTCGACCCCTGTGTCAGGAAGATTCCCTGGAGAAGGGAATGGCTCCCCACTCCAGTACTTTTGCCTGGAGAATTGCATGAACAGAGGAACCTGTAGGGCTACAGGCCATGGGGTTGCAAAGAATTGGACATGACTGAGCAACTAAGAGAATGTCAGTGTCAACCTGATAAGTGTGTCCCTTAGTTTTTCAGGGTTCTCTGGGAAACTGCCAAATTTCTCCTTGTAGGTTTCGAGGCACCCCCGTGAGAAGGGGACATGTTCTCCAGTAATCCCTCTGTTCCCATCAGTTACCCCCCAGAGAGGGTGAAAGCCTGATTGGGGAAAAGTGGGGGCTAACTTTGCACCCGATTGGAGCACTACTGGGGAAAGCAATGGTGCTTGTTAACCCTGGTATCATATAACATAAAGTACTAAAATTTCCCTGGAGAAGGGCATGGCATCCTACTGGGGTAGCTGATTTGGGGGTTTCTATTTTGACAGGGTAAGGTGAGGGGGCAAAAGCTGAAGAAGATGGTGAGAAAAAGAAATGGAGTTTGAAAGAGGGAGTCCATGAGAAGCTCTAGCTCCAAATCTTTTGGGGGCAACACAGAAATAGAGGCTTAATACAAACAAGACTCACTCAGACTTGTTTCTTCCGTAATTTAATTTTATCCTGGAGTACAGTTGATTTACACTGTTGCGTTAGGTTCCGATGTACAGCTCAAGCTTCCCACGTGCTGCTAGTGGGGAAGAGCCCCCCTGCCAATGCGGGAGACATAGGAGATGCAGGTTCGAGTCCTGGGTCTGGATGGTCCCCTGGAGAAGGAAATGGCAACCCACTCCAGTATTCTTGCGTGGAGAAGCCCATGGACAGAGGAGCCTGGCGGACTACAGTCCATAGGGTCGCAAGGAGTCGGATGCAACTGAAGCGACTTAGCATGCATATGTACAGCTAACTGATTCAGTTATATATGGAAACATATATCCATTCTTTTTCAGAGTCATTTCCCATATACTTTATTACAGAATATTGAGGAGAGATCCCTGTGCTATTAGTAGGTCTCTCTTGCTCACCTAAAGTAGTGTCTAAAGTTAATCACAAGTCCTAAATGATCGATCCCTCACCTCCACGTGTCTCTCTCACCTGCCCCTTGAAACCACAAGTCTACTTTCCAAGTCTGTGACTCTGTTGTTATTTTGCAAAGAAGTTCATTTCTATCAAGCACTTTTTTGAAGGATCCACATAAAAGAGATAGCACGTGATATTTGACATTCCCTGTCTGATATTTGCCATTCTCCTTCACTGAGTGTGACCATCTCTATGTCCTTCCATGTTGGGGTAATGACATAATTTCATTCTTTTTTTAAGGCCAAATAATATTCCATTAAGTATATGGACCACATCTTCTTTATCCATTCAGAGTTTGGTAGACATTTAAGCTGTTTGGTGTCTTGGTTATTCTACATAGTGCTGCAGTGAGTTTTGGGGTGTGTGTGTACCTTTTTGAACTATGGTCTTCTCAGGGTATTCTCTCAGAACTGGGATTGCCAGATCAAATGATACCTTTGTTTTTTCTGCTTGAAGGAACCAAAATACTGTACTTTACAGCACAACCAATTTGCATTCCTTCCAGCGGTGTACAAAGGTTGCATATTCTCCATACCCTCTTCAGCATTTGCTGCTTGGAAACTTGCTGATGATGGCCATTCTAACTGGAGTCAGTTGATAACTCGTCGCAGATTCTAATTTGCAATTGTCTAATAATTGGCTTGGAGAAGGAAATGGCACCCCACTCCAGTACTCTTGCCTGGAAAATCCCATGGAGGAGCCTGGTAGGCTGCAGTCCCTGAGGTCGCTAAGAGTCGGACATGACTGAGCAACTTCACTTTCACTTTTCACTTTCATGCATTAGAGAAGGAAATGGCAACCCACTCCAGTGTTCTTGCCTGAAGAATCCCAGGACGGGGGAGCCTGGTGGGCTGCCGTCTATGGGGTCGCACAGAGTTGGACACGACTGAAGCGATTTAGCAGCAGCAATAATTGGCTTATCATTGGCTTTTTTCTTAACAACAGTATAAATAAAATGTACCTCTTGAATTTTCTTCTTGAAAGCCAGCCCATTCAAAAATTCTTTATCCATAATCTTTGTGAGGACATTTCTTCAGAGGCAGGTATTATATATTTGCAGCAATACAAATCTTGTGGCTGTTGACTGTGATAATAGCAGGGAGTCAAGTTGCTGTTATGAAAAACGGCCACAAGATGGGAGTACTTTCCCATTCCCAATCTGGAAAATAGAATTGGAGCCTTTTAGACCAAGTTGTGTTCCTGATGGTAAATGAAAACGGAACGGGGTGGGGGCGGGGAGGGGGTAACAAAGACCCAAGGGGTTGTGTCTCTTTACCTCTGCCCCCCTTCCTTACCTATTGCCTCCTCCCACACCCCTCAGCCAAAGCCCGAGCCCTGCAAAAGTGTTTTGCCAAGAGTATTGAGGGTCAGTAGGTAGGGGGGCTCTAAGCAAACTGGCTTTTCCTGGGACCACACCACAGGGCGCGCTGGAGCGCGACGATTCTCAGAGATCTTCCTGGCGTGCCGCTCCACTGTCCTTTGGAGGCATGAGTCTTGGCTGACCTGAGAAGGGCCCGCCTGCCTGCTGAAGCAGTGGTTTTATTTGAGGGGACCTGGCACTTCTGGTAGAAGTGGGGATCATTTGCTGGCACGACCTCCTGAGCAGCCTCAAACTCACACCACTCCTGCCTTGGGAGCCGAGTCTACTCAGGTCTAAGGATAAGAAACCAGCCTGGTTGACTCGGGTCCAGGAGAATAGAATAGACATTTTTTTGCTCTTATGACTGTTTCATTTATTTTCGTTTCTGTTTTGGATATTCTATTGCAGTGGAGTTGACATGCATCGTTCTCTTTGTTTGAGTTCTTCAGCTCCTTGATTCACTTCTACATAGGCCTGTACCTATAGTTTTGCAGATTCTCATCCCATGATGGTATTGCAGAGTGTTGAGTCAAATTTCCTGGGCCCTTCTGTGGGTATGATACATTTTTCTGTGCATTTCCAGTAGTTTGGGGCCTCCTCATTGATCCTGCTCCCTGCGTCCCCCTGCCAACCTCCCCATCTATGCCTTGGCAATGGTGTGTTTCATGTGCAAGCCTGTGAGCCTGATCTTTGTGTGGGACACTGCTGGGTTTCGATCATGTTTTAGCTATCACCTGTAAGTGAAATCAGTCATACTTGTGTTCTGTCTGCCTCACTGGGCTTAGTGTGCGCCTCTCCTGGCCCACTGAGTTCCTTAAAACAGCGTGACTTCATTGTGTTTGGGGCTGAGTCACTGTCCACTGGTATGGGTGCATGCCTCCTTTCTCTGTTCATCTGTCCTCGCACTTGGGTCGTTCCTCTGCCTTGGCTATTGTAAATAATGCAGACATGACCGTTACAGTGCCTGTGACTTTTGCAAGGATGCTTTTCTCTGGGTATCCCTCCAGGAAGAGATACACTATCTTTGGTAGCTCTGTTTTTCTTTTCTTAAATGAACATCCAGACTATTCTCCAGAGTGACTGTTGCCAGTTTATAGTCCCACCTCAGCACTGGAGAGTTCCCTATTCCCCCATCCCACTCCCCAGACCCGGGGAGCCTTTTTTGAAGTGTTGATTTTGTAATGATTGCTGCCAGAGGATCCCTGGGTGTCTTTGTCTTGAGGTCTTTCTCCTTCTTAGAGATCCTGAGCATTTTCGTTTCAGGTGATTTTTCTCTGTGACAAAGACTATGAATAAAATGTGGCTGTTGAAATATGCATGTGGAGGGTTGGCTGTATTTTGAGTTAGGTTTTCATTAGGTGCCGCCATGGACCTTTCTTGGTGGGGGAGGTCATCTGCATCCCCGATCCTGTGAACCTTGAGTACTCTGCGTCAGTCTTCTCGTTGCAGTTCCGGAAGATGTCCACAAGGCGGCAGCACTTCTTCATGCCCCACTTTGTTCACTGGGCCATCTTTCTGGGTTGTAAAGGAGAGTGGAAGGTGCCCAAGGGCTTGTGTCTCTTTATCTCTGCCCTCTTCCTCTACCCCTTCGCCTCCTCCCGACCACCTCAGTCAGACCCCAAGCCCTGCAGAAGTGTTATGCCGAGGGTCCTGGGTGTCAGTTGTTAGGGCGACTGTAAGCAAGCTGGCTGTAATCAGGGACCACAGCCCCGGGAGCCCTGGAGCCCTACGCCTCTTGGAGCTCTTCCAGGCACGCCTCTCCACTTTGGCGGCTTGAGGCTCGGCTTAGGTGACAAGCGCCCACCTGCATCCTGCGGTGGTGGTTTCATTCGGAGGGCACCCCCCGCCGAGTTCTGGTGCAAGGGGGCTCGTTCGCTGGCACGGCCTCCTGAGCAGCCTCAGTCCCACCCCAGTCTGCTTTGGGAGCCGAGTCCGCTCAGGTCGAGGGTTGGGCCAGGTCCCAGGGGAATTGTTATGGTTAGACGTCCACTATTTTTCCTTATTTGTGTCTGCTGAATGTCCTGTGTTCTTTCTCCTCTGGTTGTTTTAAATGTTTTCTCTGTTTCCGTTCTTGACTCTGTGCCAAGTTTTATTTATTTTGTACTTATTTATCCTGCTTGGTATTTGCTGCACTTCTGCTATCTGTGTATTACTTTCTTTCTTCAGAAAATTCTTACTGATTATCTTTTAAAGTATTTCTTCTACCCAATTTTCTCTCCCCTGTCCTTCTGGGGAATTAATATTTTTGACTATTTTATATTGTCTCACATGTCTCTTAAGATCTGTTTCTGTTTTGTTTTTCATCGTTTTTATTATCTGTGCTTTAGTTTGGATACTTTTATTGACTTGTCTTTAAGATTCATGATCCTTTCTTTGGTTTTGTTCGGTCTACCAATAAGCCTCTCCAATGAACTGCTAATTTTATCTATTTTATTTTTTTCAGCTTTATTTTATCCACTTTGATTTTATTAAGAGGTCTCATTTCTTTGCTTAAATTCTTCATCTTTTCATCTATTTTTGTAATATTGTCTGTGTTCTTTTATACATTTATAAAAGTCATTTTATTTTTTTGTTAGCTAATTATGACATCTAAGTCATCTGTGAGTTATTTTATTTACTGTTTTTTCTCCCCTGCTGATCAACAGCTATTTTTTCTTATGACTGTTAAAAATTGAGTAGAAAATAAGAGGGTGAACTGGTTGTATTTTCCTGTAGGAAACCATGTTTTTTTTTTTTTCTTTGTAAGATAGCTATGTTGAGCTGCTGATCTTTTCAACCAGGAGTTGACCTGAGCAAGAGTCTTGTTGCACAAGTATTGATCATTAGTTTATCTCTGATTTCAAATGTCTTTAGAGGGAGAATTGTCCTAGTCTATGATAGGATCCTTCCTCTAGCAGCATTTTGGGATAAAAACATCCAAAGACTAAGAAAATCTCTTTCTGTGGGGGCTTGTAGCTAAGCCTTTGATTTCTTGTGTCACTTCACACTCAGCAAAAGCATACGCAGTGGAAAAACCAGCTTTATATTTGAAACTCCTCCAGATTTATATGTCACAGGAGCCTACATGGTCATTAAAATACTGTCAATTTCTCCTTACTTCAGCAAACTCCCTCTGCAGTATAGCAGGTCAGCCCAATGCCTACCTGTCCTTACTTGCTTCTAGAAGTAAAACTAGCAGCTGGTCTGTATGATAGGCTTATCCCTTTCTGAAATTTAGTTCCTTTAGGCTTGTGCTCAATGTTCAGTTGCTCAGTTGTGGCCAACTCTTTGCAACCCCTTGGACTGTAGCCCACCAGGCTTCTCTGTCAGTGGAATTTTCTAGGCAGGAATATTGGAATGGTTTGCCATTTCTGAAATTTAGTTCCTTTAGACTTATGTGTATCCAAAATGCTCCTGTGTGTTTACAGTTTTTATAATTTTTGTAACCTCTGTGTGTTTCTATTTACCATAGTGTGAAGGATTGTTTGGCATGTCCTTCTATATCCTAATCAAAAGTGGAGTTCTGGAAAAACTAATAAGACAAGTTGTTTTCATGCAGCATACACCCAATGCTATGGTGCCATGATCACTGATAATTTATAATGGGAAACACTAATTTTTTAAAGTATTTTAATTCCATTTCTTCCTTTCTTAAGTAAAAAAAAAAAGGTTTAAGAAATAGTTTACAAATGTAAGAAGACACAATTTTATTATTTCTTGAAAAATTTGTTTATAAGACATGAATGATATGATTTACAATAGCATTTTGTAGAAATGCATTCCATTTTTCTTTTATTTTAGGAATTTTTAGAATGTGCTCATGAAGCCTGCAAAGTACATAATCTTCAGCCTGTTAAATTTTTTCTTGAAAAAATGATTCAGACATATGAGATGATGATCGTTAGACACGGGTAAGATTATAGATAGTTAGATGCCATAGTTAGCTGTTATTTTTTTTAAGTTAAACTATTAAAACAACTAAAATTTATAAACCAAAGAGTCAGCAAATTTTGCTAGGTGCAGTAGGGAGCAACCCTCCATCCCCACTCTACCCCAACCAATCTCCATTCCAGTGACTTAAAAACAACGCTGTATTTCTCTCTCACGCTACATGTCCAAAAAAGATTGGAAAGGAGTGCTCATTCAGTGATGTAGCACTAATGACCCTCCACAATTTGCCCCTTTTATCATCAAATACGTTATTTGTTCTACTTCATGAACATTAAATACACTTTTACTTTCCCAAGGAGGCAACCCGAAAGTTCCAACCAAGGAACCAGACTCAAAGTCTAGAATCTCTAGATGATATGTGATAGTCTGTGTATCAGATTTGAAAGCTGTTCCTCTTGCTCCAGAGATCTAAAAATAGAAAAACAAGTTATCTGCCCTGCACACATCCAGCATTATAATAGTGGGTTTACCAGAACATGATTCCCACAGCAAATACTCACATTCAGAAACTGAAGAGACAAAGCCAGTACTTGTTGGTAGCAGTTCTGAAATTCAGCAGGGCATGCTGGGCCCTAATTCCAGAGACAGACTGACTGTGAAAGTACCTCAGTAGTTTGTACAGGCCCTTCCAGGGAGTCAGAGTCATTTTATACATAATTTATTGTAAAGGGTACCATTAAGTGGCTCTGGCCATTTTATATTCATAATTATATATATATATATATATATATTGTTCCCCCCCTCCTGAGACAGCCTCCCCTACCAATTGTATAAACTGAGATCCCCGTAAAACCTGGGTATACTTCTGTTTGACGTTGCTACCCAAGAGGGGTTTTTCCAGGAACCTGTCCTCTGTGGACTTTGGTTCAACCTTGTGAGGGGTCTCCCCTCTTCATTTTCTTCCCTGGTCACATGTGAGGTGGATAATAGAGAAAATTTCCTTGAGAGCTGAAAAATGTTTTCAGCTGGCTCTCTACCTATACAAAGTTGATGTCTCAAAAGTCATGATTTTTTAAAGGCAGGTTTTTTTTTTTAAAGCTCTTTGTATTGTATAAATTTTCAAACATATGTAAAAATAGAGGGAATTAGTACAGTCAACCCTCATGCATTCAGTAACTAAGAGTCTTTTTTACATCTTAAACATTCACACTGTGTTTTAGCCTAGACTCATGGTTTCTTTGTCAGTTAACTCTCTCAGAAACTTAATAAACTTTTTTTTCCATTTGATTCCAGGTGTGCCAGGGGCCACCAGAGGAGTCCTTATTAAGTCACACCTTTCTAAATGTCCTTGTAGTATCCTTGAACCTATCTGGCTTAGTTGGTAGGCCCATATCCTTAATCTGTTTTCCCTAATTATTTCACCATCTGGAAATGATTGCTGGGAACCATATTAACCTTGCATATCTTATAGTGAAGTGATACAATGGCTCTGCTCTTGATTTGGTCTTTGCTACTAGGCTAAGCTGATCTTTGTTGTTCAAAGATTTTTCTCAACTTATCTCTTACCGATTGCAGATGAGAATAAATCACCTCATTCAGTCTCTCAAGTCTCTATTTCTCAGCTTTCTCTACTTTCATTCCTGCTTGCAAAGTGGCCATATTTTCCTGAGCTCATTTCTTTTTGTAGTTCCTTGTTAAATGCATCCCTTAGCCACCAATATATACTAATAATTCTCTGTTCACTATCTTTCCCCCCTAAAACCACAATTTCAATAGATTTATTATCTATCTCCCAGATTATCTCAAGGAATAAATTTACCAAATGTTTGATCAGTCGCTCAGTCGTGTCTGACTCTTTGCGACCTCATGAACTGCAGCATGCCAGGCCTCCCTGTCCATCATTAACTCCCAGAGTTTATGCAAACTCATGTCCATTGAGTCGATGATGCCATCCAACCATCTCATCCTCTGTCATCCCCTGCTCCTCCTGCCTTCAATCTTTCCCAGCATCAGGGTCTTTTCCAATGAGTCAGCTCTTTGCATCAGGTGGCCAAAGTATTGGAGTTTTAGCTTCAACATCAGTCCTTCCAATGAACACCCAGGACTGATCTCCTTCAGGATGCACTGGTTGGATCTCCTTGCAGTCCAAGGGACTCTCAAGAGTCTTCTCCAACACCACAGTTCAAAAGCATCAATTCTTTGGTGCTCAGCTTTCTTTATAGTCCAACTCTCACATCCATACATGACCACTAGAAAAACAGGTTTGACTAGACAGACCTTTGTTGGCAAAGTAATGTCTCTGCTTTATAATATGCTGTCTAGGTTGGTCATAACTTTCCTTCCAAGGAGTAAGCGTCTTTTAATTTCATGGCTGCAGTCACCATCTGCAGTGATTTTGGAGCCCCAAAATAAAGTCAGCCACTGTTTCCATTGTTTCCCCATCTATTTGCCATGAAGTGATGGGACTGGATGCCATGATCTTAGTTTTCTGAATGTTGAGCTTTAAGCCAACTTTTTCACTCTCCTCTTTCACTTTCATCAAGAGGCTCTTTAGTTCTTCTTCACTTTCTGCCATAAGGGTGGTGTCATCTGCATATCTGAGGTTATTGATATTTCTCCCGGCAATCTTGATTCTGGCTTGTGCTTCATCCAGCCCAGTGTGTCTCATGATGTACTCTGCATATAAGTTAAATAAGCATGGTGACAATATACAGCCTTGATGTACTCCTTTTCCTATTTGGAACCAGTCTGTTGTTCCATGTCCAGTTCTAACTGTTGCTTCCTGACCTGCATACAGGTTTCTCAAGAGGCAGGTTGGGTGGTCTGGTATTCCCATCTCTTTCAGAATTTTCCACAGCATAGCATTAATTCCCAATCCTTTAGCCTCTGTTAACAGTTAATTTGCCACCCACAACTTAGCCTCAAAGCCCATGCCCCTTATTTTAGTCTCTCTCTTTTTTTTTTATCATGGCAAGAATACCTTTCTTCCTTCTAGGTACCAATTTCTATCGGTAAGGACGGACTAGGTTATTTCAGAGAAACAATCTGTACCCAAATCTTAGTGACTTGAGAACAAAGGTGTATTTCTCAATCATACTGTTTTCAGTATAATTTAATTTGGAGGTTCTGCTCATCATAATTATTCAGGTCCCAGGTTGTTGGAGCAGCCACCGTCTCAACACTGTGGGTCACGGCTTGCTAGAGGGAAAAGAGAGAGCTCTGTAGGGTCCCTCATGGGCAATTATCTCTCCTCTACCAAGTAACACTCATCATTTCCATTTATTACTCCTTAGTCATCTAGTAGTCCTGAAAGAGAGCAAGGAAGGTACTATGTTCCAGCAGAGAGGAGATTCAGAGTATTTGGCAAAGAGCACTGTAGCAAGTGAAAATGAGGAAAAGTGAATCCTCTCCACCTCCCTGCTTAGGAAACCTCAAGTCATTAAATTTTTTTTCTTAAGTGTGCAGTTGTTTCCATTTCTATTTGGAAATTTTTTTTTTCATCATTTGGAAAATTTTTATTCTCTTTTGTAGATAAAGGTATTAATATTGAGAACTTGATTTAGAGATCAGTTAAATGTAACCACCTTATATCCAAGACAAAGTAATATAATTTCAAAAATTATATGTAGTAATTATCATAAGGTGAAAGTTTATATACAAGTATATAGGTAAATAATTTAACTTACCATTATTTTTGAGAATCTTATTGTATAATGACTTCTTTTCCTTCATAGTTTTATGTTAGTAGGAGAGCCTTTTGCTGCTAAAACAAAAGTTCTGCATATGCTGGCTGATACTCTAACTCTTATGAATGAACGTGGCTATGGAGAGGAAGAAAAAGTCATTTATAGGACTGTAAACCCCAAATCCATTACTATGGGCCAACTTTTTGGACAATTTGACCCAGTGTCCCACGAGGTAATCCACAGTAGAAACATTCTCTACTCTTATTGACAATGCACATTAAGCCAAGAAATTTGAAATATTTTTATGTTATCACTTTATAGTTTTTTAAAGGAAGCTTTCCAACTCTTCCTTTCTTCCTCCTCAGTGGACTGATGGCATTGTGGCTAACACTTTTAGAGAATTTGCCTTATCAGAAACACCTGACCGGAAATGGGTTGTATTTGATGGTCCCATTGACACTTTGTGGATAGAGAGCATGAACACTGTACTGGATGATAATAAAAAGGTAAACCATCATGATTAAAAGCAAAACAGATGCACAGTATGAGTATACTTAATGCTACTGAGCTGCAAACCTAAAATTGTTAACATGGTAAATTTATGTTATGTTTTTTTTTTTTACCACAATTTAAAAAAACAAAGTAGATACAGACATGCTTAAGCATGTTATATGTCCAACAACTAAATCCCAATATTTAAAATGAAGGATGCTGCAAATTGAAAAAAGTTTATAAGTTATCTTTTCAATGAAAACTATGCTGTGGTAAATTCTTTGCTTAGTTTTTTTTTTAATTAAAATACAAGTATATTAAAATTACTGCATTAGCAGGAAGGTATAGTAATGTGATAATAAGTTATGTGACTATAGTCATAAGGTTTCTTATAGAAATTTAATATTTTAGAAGAAAACAAAAACCCTTCTTTTTTGAAAACATAGACTGCTTCAGTGCTTATATGTGGTACATAACCTTAGAACCTGTGAGATTTGAAAAAATAAGAAAATGGAAGTCTTATATTTATTTTAACTGAGAGATAACATATGTAAAGTATAAAATGCATATCAAAGTTTAGAGTCTATGTATTTTTTTACATACTCATACACCCAGATGACCATAATATAAATAAAAATACCTTAAATTTATTGTTTCCTACAAGGTTCACTTAAGTCCCTATGCAATCTGTACATCTTTCCAAAGGCACAATCATTATTCTAACTTGTGCTGTGATAAACTAGTTTTGCCAGTTCTTGAACTTCATGTAAATAGAATCATACCATATAATGTTTTCTTTCTTTTGGTCAATACAACAACCTATGATATTAATATTGTAGTTCCATTTTATTTCTTTATTATTCTTTTAATATCTGTATTAGTATTCTACTGTATCAATATACCACAACTTATTTTTATATTTAAATGAAATAATTATACTACTAAGTAAGCAAACTAGTTTAATTAACATTTAAACATATACTCCAGTACTTTATCATAGGTGGTTAGTTGTTTATTTTTTTTTTTCATTATTCAGTCATATTGATTGGACTAAGGGGGAAAGCAAACAAACAAGAAATAGTGATGATTCAGAAGAGAGGGTTAATCAGTTTAGTCAAGTCTAAGGTAAGAGAAACCCCAGTAAGATGGTATGCACTGAGAGAGGGCATCAGAGGGCAGACAGACTGAAACCACAATCACAGAAAACTAACCAATCTGATCACATGGACCACAGCCTTGTCTAACTCAGTGAAACTAAACCATGCCATGTAGGGCCACCCAAGATGGATGGGTCACGGTGGAGAGTTCTGACAAAATGTGGTCCACTGGAGAAGGGAATGGCAAACCACTTCAGTATTCTTGCCTTGAGAACCCCGTGAACAGAATGAAAATGCAAAAAGATAGGACACTGAACGATGAACTCCCCAGGTTGGTAGGTGCCCAATATGCTACTGGAGATCAGTGGAGAAATAAATTCAGAAAGAATGAAGAGATGGAGCCAAAGNGAGGCCTGGTGTGCTGCAGTCCATGGGGTTGCAAAGTCAGACACGACTGAGCAACTGAACTGAAGTGAAGGACTCAGAGCCTGGTGGAAGGATTGTTTCATATCAGATGAAAGGGGAGCAGGAAAAGTGAATGTGTGGCTTTAATAGTGGAAATTTTTGAAGGCAAAGTTTTTTTCTGGACGTCCTCATGGAGTGATTTATTAGGATTCCATCTCACAAGGCAGTTGGTGGGTGGTGGTGGCAGTGACTCCCAGCCCCTGACCAACCGTTTGCATGTGGAGCATGCCAACAGTGCACTTGGTCAAGGGCAGACATGGGGCTACAGAGGCGACCTGGGCACAGGACGTGGGGCAAGGAACGAGGCTGGGGTGATGGATCCGTAAAGAGGGGCCTAGTCTCCCCAACCCTTGGCAGAAGAGGAAAAATAAGACTCAAACTTCTCATAAACGCCTATTTGCTGGGTACTTTCTTTCTCCTTATCTTGAAAAATAATAAAAAAACACGGGGAAAAAAAATCTCAAAAGTAAATAAAGGAATAAAACCGTAAGAAGGCGAGAGATGGGAGGCCAGGGGGAGCCTGACCACGGTAGGGCTAGGGTGCCTGCCCCCTGCGCCTCAGCCTCCTCCCTTCTTGGCCCCGGCGGCCGGGCACCCAAATCCCCACCGGTGGGTCCCTGAGAGAAGGTGCGGGGCCTGGGCGGGGTCTCCAGGGGCCAGAGGAAAGAGGCCCAGTGGCCTGCTGCTGGGTTAGTTCGGGTTTGGGCCCCGCGAGCGGGGGCGCCAGCTGTGCGGTCTCTCTGGGCTCAGCCCCCACAGGTCTGGGCCCCAGAAGGGGCCGGCAGCCCCAGGTGCAGCTCGTGGGTTTGATGCGCTCCCGCCGCCCTCGGAAATGCGGGAAGGAGGGCCGTGCGAGGGCGTCCGGGTGCCCACAGTGCCTCATGGCCTCGGACGGGCAGGCGGGCGGCCGTCGGGGGCGACTGTCCGTCTGGTAGCCCCTTCCAGCCGCGGGGCGACGGCCTTCAGGGGTGGATTCTTGGGTAAGACACTCGCCGGGAAGAGTGGATTTCCCAGAGGAGGATCTCGAGACGCCACGCGTCCGACTCGGTGGAGAGCTTCCTCTCGTCAGGGCCTCGGGCGCCTCCCCCTGGACCGGCCGCTTGCGGGTGCCCTGGGTGCTGGAGGCGTCCTCGCTGAGGCCGGAGCCGCGGCCCCGGGCCACGTGGTCCCTCGGACACCACCACCTCCAGGCGTCCCACGGCTGCGCGGACGTCTAGGAAGAACTCGAGGAGATAGTCTCCTCCCGGTACCGACCGAGCCCTCGCAGGCCCCCTCAGCCGTGTTCTCGGCGACGACGTAGACCCGCCTCCTCCTCTCCGGTCAGGCCCAGAAGCTGCACCAGGTGTCCGCTGAAGCTGCGTCGGCACCCAGGCTTCAGCCAGGAAGGGCCGGACAGGAGCGTCATTCTTAACGGCGACTTTGTTCGTTCCCTCGGTAGCTGCCCAGCATCATGCCTCCACACTCTCCGTTCCCAGTGGCCTGCACCAGCTTCAGGCCCTTCCTGCTCAGCGCCTCGGTGCCCTCCGTGACGTTTGGCCTGTCCCTCTGATCTGAGGTGCGGTGCTCCTCCAGCTGCCTGAGGTCCTCGTGGGTGCTGAGCTTGCTGCGCTGGCGTCCCCGGGCCTAGCCGGTGGTCTCCCGCACCAGGACGGACCTGTCTGGTGGGCACAGCGGCCGCTCCGCCTGCTCCGCGCGGTCTGGCCGTGGAAGCAGGCGGTGAAGCTGAGTGCCATGCCTCTGCCTCCACGCCCTCCCGCTTCTGGACGTAGTTGGCTGGGGCGATGCCCTTGTGGCTCACCTTGTTCTTGGCTTTGTACCAGTTGGGGTCCTTGGTGATGGCCACTTGGTGAGCATGTCTTTGCCAAATGGAGGGTCTTTCTTGGTAGCGCGGTGAAAGTTATACTTGGCAATATAGTCTGTATGGGACGGCCAGGAAACCTGAGTTGCTGACATCTTCTCATTAGATCTGGCGTTCCCCCAGTCACAGGAAGGCGGACCTGTCTCTTGGTACCATGAGAGTGCTGCCGTCTCAGCCCCCCCTCCCCCTGCCCACTGCGGGCAGCATCAGTGGCCTGCGGAACAGTCCATGGTGTGGGGAGGGGCGTAGGGGTCCTGGGGGCTGCGGTACAAAGATGTCTGTTTGAGAAAGAAAGGGGAGGAGAGACAGCCAGGGGAGGAGAGACGGCCCCCGGTGGGGCCGGGGGCTGGGAGGGAGTTCGGGGTAGTAATCAATGTAGCTGGGCTGCAAACCACCGTGGTTCAACGTGGCGACATCGCGCTGGCAGCCCAGCCCCCGGCCTCTGGATGGGGGCCAAAGGGTCCCGGTGGCCACAGGCTGGCTGAAGTGGGAGGGGCAGGACGCCCGGGTGTGGCCCCGACACCCCGGCAACCTGAATTGCCGACGTCTTGGAAGATTTGGCAGATGCTTTTGGCGATTTATTTTTTTCTTCGGGAAGCGGTAGACAGTGGTTCTTTGTACACACGAGAAAGGGGAAGATTTAAATTAGCCATCAAGAAAAATGGAAAAGAGAGCTGCCTAGGAAAATGAAGAAGCATATCTGGGTGTTACGGAGAACCTGATAGACTTGAAGACCGTGAATTCTAAGTTTAGTGCCAAGGTCTGCCTCTGTGAGATTTTCTCTACCAATCTAAACACTTTAGATGTGGGTGTAGTTCAGGTGGCTAGACTGGAAATACAGAAAAACTTTAAATATATTGACAGGAGAATGCTAGAAATGCTGGACCATAGAACAGAAGCTACCTAATGAAAGAAGTGAAAACAACAGGGGAATGAAAATCTCTGTGAAAATGAAGAGCAAATTTAGTAGGAGTCAACGAGTGGAGAGCTGTATAGATAGGAGACATTATTAGAAGTTAATGACAATTACAAACGTGGAAGCCAAGGAGATTGAGAAAATAGAATAGCTTTAATAATAATAAGATAGTTATTTGGCAGAAAAGACACAGTTGACAAATTCAATTTTTTACATATTTGATTAAAAAGGAATGTTTTAGATTAAAAGAGACCCAGAGGAGACTGCAAATCCAATGCATGGTCCTTGATTGAATTTTGGCCTGAATAAATCAGTTGAAAAGACATTCCTGATACAACTGAGAATATTTGAATATTGGCTGAGTATTAGATGATATTAAGGAATTATTGGTAATTGTGTTAGATGTGATAATGCTATTGTGGTTATACAGGAAAGTCCTTATTTTAAAAGATTAATATTGACTTATTTGGATGTGAAATGCCATGATATTTGTAATGATCTTTAAAATACTTTTTAAAAAGACAAAGCAAATATGGCAAAATGTTACCATTGGTTAACTCTAGAAGATAAGTATATGAATATTCATAGTATTCTCTATTTTTTCTATTTCTTTTTCATTAATAAAAAAGTCTTACAACTATAAAATCTATGGTATTTCATGTAATTTTTTAATAACAAAAACTGACATTAGTATAGAATTTTATAGTTTCTTTCAATATATCATGTAGTTCCTGTCTCCCCTCCTTATATGGAGAGGACAGAACTAGACTTAGAATTTAGATTTAAGATTTTTCTGGCTTCCATCCTAAGACTTATCCTATTATATCCTAAGAGGTACTTTAATAAATAGAATAAACTTCTGAGAAGTTTGAGATTTTTTAAAATAAACTGTTGAAAAATTGTTACTTTCAGCTTTGCCTTATGAGTGGAGAAATCATTCAGATGTCCCCTCAAATGAGCCTCATCTTTGAAGCAATGGACCTTTCCCAGGCCTCAGTAAGTTCATAATATATTATAATAGTAGTTTATTCATCTGTTCACTGGTTCATAAGTCTTTTTTTATGTATTGTTTCTTTATTAAGTCTTAAATTACTGGAGTGTAGTTGATTTACAGTGTTGTGTTAGTTTCAGGAATAAGTCATTTTTACTATGTGTCAGAAAATGAGTTAGGCACAAAAAATACAAAGATGAATAAGACAGTGTATGCTCATTTAGAGAGGATGAGAAACATGATAATATATAATATATGTGTGTGTGTGTGTGTGTGTATATATATACATATATATATATGTATATATATATATCTCTCCTGATATAGAGGTACATGTTAGTGCTCTAAAGATATAGAGGGGGCAAGTGCCCAAGCGAGGAATGGGTAGAGGAAGAGGATGTGGGAAAATGTTTGAGTGTTTGATCTGGTTTTGAGGGGTAAGACTTCTCCGTGGAGATTGGTTGGGGCTTGGCACTCCAAATCATGACAAGATGTCTTGAAAAGTCTTGGAGCCATGACATATCCAGGGATCTGTAACTGCAGATAGTTTCATCTAGTGTATGTGATGCTATAGAGGAAGACAGGAGCCAGATCATGAAGGACCTTATAAGTGATGCAAAGAATTCTTTAATAACTACCAGATTGGAAAATGAAAACTTGTCTTTTTTCCTCTAGCCAGCCACTGTAAGCCGCTGTGGCATGATTTATTTGGAGCCCTCACAGTTGGGGTGGAAACCACTTGTGTCTTCATGGCTGAATTCACTGAAAGGACCTCTGCAGGAACCAGATCACCAAGCTCTTCTGAGAGGACTTTTTGACTGGTTAATAGAGCCCACTTTAAATCTCCGTAAGAAAAAATGCAAGGTAACATTATAATTCTCTTATCTACTCTAATTTCTTTACTTTCCATTCAACTTGACTAAGTTTAAAGTCAGAATGGTAGGATAAATAAATTTTTTCTACTTAGACATATAATATCCACTTTAAAAAAAATCAAAAGATTGATTATGACCATCCATGATTCATATGCAGTTGTAAGAAATAATACAGAGAGATCCCACATACACTTCACCTGATTTTCCCCCATGGCAACATTTTGCAAGACTGTATTATTATATCACAACAAGGATATTGACATTGATAACATCTACTGATCTTATTTACATTTCCCTAGTTATCGTTGTACTCATGTGTCTCTCTGTGTGTATGTGTCTGTATTCATGTGCATGCATTTATCCATTGGCATTTACTTGGTTTTAATTTTAATATGTATGCTTAAAGTGTACAAGATGATTTTATATATATATATGCAGTGAAATGAATGGGCTTCCCTGGTAACTCAGCTGGTAAAGAATCCACCTGTAATGCAGGAGACCCTGGTTTGATTCCTGGATCAGGAAGATCCCCTGGAGAAGGGAATGGCTACCCACTCCAGTACTCTTGCCTGGAGAGTGAAATGATTATCACAGTCAGGATAATTGCCTTATCTCCTCAAATAGTTAACACATGTGTGTGTGTTTGTGTGTGATGAGAACACCTAAATCTCTCTCTTAGCAAATCTTCAGTACTGATACAAATTGTACAGTATTACTAACTGTAGTTATCATGCTGTCTATTATATCTCTAGACTTATTCATCCTGCATAACTGTAACTTTTTACTGTTCGCCCATCTCCCCATTTCTCCCACCTCCTCCCCACTTGTAACCTCTGTTTTACTCTGCTTCTTTTTATGTATTCAACTTTTTGATCATGCATATAAGTGAGATCATGCAGTTTTTTCCTTTCTGTATCTGGCTTATTTCTCTTAGCATAATGTCCTCAAGTTTTGTCTATGTTGTTGCAAATGGCAGGGTTTTCTTTTTTAAGAATGAATATTATTCCATTACATATGTACTACAATATCTTTATCCATTCATCTGCCAGTGGACAATTAGGTGTCTCCATCTTGGCTGCTGTGAATAATGCTTCAGTGAATGTGGGAGCACAGATATCTCCTTGAGGAGCTTAATTTATTTCCTTTGAGTGTATACCTAGAAGGGGGATTGCTGGATCATACAGTAGTCCTATTTTTAGTTTTTTGCGGACCCTCCATACCTTTGCACTGATAATGACTGGACTAATTTACCTTCCCACAGCCAGTGCACAAGCATTGTTTTTCTCCACATTCTCGCTAACACTAGTTATCTTTTATCTTTTTGATAATGTCCATCCTAACAGGTGTGAGGTGATATATCATTGTAGTTTTGATTTGCATTTCCTTACTGATTAGTGAGGTTAACTGACTTTTCATATACCTCTGGATCATTAGTATGTTGTCTTTAATTTCAATATCACTTCTTGCCAGAGATCATTTGTTTTATTTTCATGTCTCCTAGCTTGATATACAGGTAGATTGTATTTTTGATAAATGTTTGTTGAATAAATATATGAGTAAATAACTGTTATAAACTTCATTTCTACTATCTCTAGAGCACTGTTTATTCTCTTACTAATTTTCATTTCTCAGAGAATTCAAAATAAGAATATGTTACACAATTGTGTAATGTATTATGCTAGACTAAAATATTTGAGAGATTTTTATCATTCCTACAATTTAAATTCTTTAACTTTTATAGAGACTGTAAAAAGTATTTTTTTTAAGTGAAACACTTATTTTCTTTCATTATGAATATAAGATGAAAGTAAAGTATCTTATTCTTTTCACCTTGAAGGAACTGATTCCAACAAGCGATAGCAATGTGGTTGTCTCTCTCACACGCCTCTTTGAAGTACTGCTCTGTAACGTGGTGGAAAACGATCCTACCAGCAAGCACATTCGTATTTGGATTATGGTTGGTTTTATATTTATTGTGTTTTTTAAGTTATAGAATAAAAAGTGCCTCTGGCAAATGTTGCTTGTCTTGAGAAAGACATTACAAGACCCAGAGCTATTTTTTGGTGAGCACCAAAAGAATACCAGAAGACATTAAAGTTGATATTCTAATTTATAACACAATTTAGAGAAAGTAAAATACATCAGAATAAATACAAATGCCCTATTATTTATGAAAGATCACAATTTGATAAACAATAGAGTTACTTAATATTAAACCAATATGGACTTTAGGTGAATTGGTCTTGTCTCAATGTTAAGCTAGAGTGTAAGCTATAACAGAGTGACTACAAAAGACTAGAAGCAGGCATCCAACCAGCTGGGTGGCATTGCAGGCAGAATCCGGAGAGCATTTAGATAGGAAGGAGTCAGTGGTCTGGGTTAGTTAGTGCCTAGAGATCAGAGAATGCCAGAGAATCAGGCTCTCCAGGAGCCAAACGAAAGAGGTGTTCTATTCTCTCCCCTGGTCTATGTCACTTTCCTATCCACCACCTTTTCTCAGATTCCTTAACTTCCTCTATGCAATCTATCTACTCTTCTACTCTGATAATAGCGCTTCCCTCTCATTGTTTTCCCTTTACTTTGTTGCCACAGAAAATTTTCTCTTAAAACGTATTTGATTAGAATACCAGAAGACATTAAAGTTGATATTCTAATTTATAACATAATTTAGAGAAAGTAAAATACATCAGAATAAATACAAATGCCCTATTATTTATGAAAGATCACAATTTGATAAACAATAGAGTTACTTAATATTAAACCAATATGAACTTTAGGTGAATTGGTCTTGTCTCAATGTTAAGCTAGAGTGTAAGCTATAACAGAGTGACTACAAAAGACTAGAAGCAGGCATCCAACCAGCTGGGTGGCATTGCAGGCAGAATCCGGAGAGCATTTAGGTAGGAAGGAGTCAGCAGTCTGGGTTAGTTAGTGCCTAGAGATCAGAGAATGCCAGAGAATCAGGCTCTCCAGGAGCCAAACGAAAGAGGTGTTCTATTCTCTCCCCTGGTCTATGTCACTTTCCTATCCACCACCTTTTCTCAGATTCCTTAACTTCCTCTATGCAATCTATCTACTCTTCTACTCTGATAATAGCGCTTCCCTCTCATTGTTTTCCCTTTACTTTGTTGCCACAGAAAATTTTCTCTTAAAACGTATTTGATGCACTTTTCTATCTAGAGAAGGCATGTACCTAGAGCAAATATCAAGACAAAAGTAGGTTTTCCATCCATACCAGTCCCCCAGCCACCCTTCAGGCAACCACTATTACGAGTGCCTCGTGTAGCCTGCTAGAGATACTTGATACATACCCTCTTTTACAGTAGCTCAGATGGTAAATAGTCTGCCTGCAAGGCAAGAGACCCAGGTCTGATCCCTGGGTCAGGAAAATCCCCTAGAGAAGGGAATGGCTATCCACTCCAGTATTCTTGCCTGGAGGATTCCATGAACAGAGGAGCCTGGTGGGCTACAGTCCATGGGGACACAAAGAGTCAGACAGGACTACAACTAACACACACACAGACATTTTTTATACATGTTAACATACTATGCATTCTGATTTACATTTTTTCTCACTATATATTTTGGAGATCTTTCCATATTGGTATTGTGGTACCTTTTTTCCCCTAAACAGCTATACATATTCCACTGTATGTAGCTTATTCCAGTTAAGTTGATCTCTATTTGTGTTGCTTCAGATATTTTGCTACCACAAACAGTGCTGCAGTAAATATTCTTGTACATTTATCATTTTAACCAGAAGGAATATATTTGAAGATAAACCCACTAAAAGAGAAACCCCTAGGTCATTTGTCATGAGCATTTTAAATTTAGATAGCATTTTAAATATTGCCAGAGGACTGATTTTTTATGTGACTGAGATGTGCTTCATTCCACATTATTTGTAAATCTGATTTATTCCAAGTAGGTTAAGTAGAACTCAATATATTAAATTTCAATCTGTTAAAAATCTCTTTTAAATAATTAGTTTAAATTAAACTTTTTCCTCTTTAAACAAACAGGCTTGCTTTATATTTTCTTTGATATGGTCCATTGGAGGAAGCTGTGATACAGATGGTCGCATCATTTTTGATGTTTACATACGAATAGCCATAATGGGAAAAGATGAAAACAACCCAATACCTGAATCTGTGGGTAAATGGGAATGCAACTTTGATGAAAAAGGCCTAGTCTATGACTACATGTATGAGGTATGATGTAAGACACTTGTTATGATAAACCATAGAACACAAAGTCTTAGATCAGTGGTCAAAACTGGGTTCCCATCCTAGAGTTACTCTGACTCCTGTGGTTAGCATTTTAGTCCCTTCTCTTTCGTTTCTCCTCCTATAACTTCTGGGCTTTCCCAATGGCTCAGAGAGTAAAGAATCTGCCTGCAATACAGGAGACCTGGGTTCAATTCCTGGGTTGGGAAGATCCCCCCAAGAAGGAAATGGCAACCCACTCCAGTATTCTTGCCTGGAAAATCCCATGGACAGAGGAGCCTGGCGGGCTACAGCACACGGGGTTGCAAAGAGTCGGACACAACTGAGTGACTAACGCACAAACTGATAACTTGTGGACAGTATAGATCCACTTGCTTGAAGTATATTTTATAATTTCAGATTTATGTTAAATCTGTTTTCTCTTACTTAAAAAAGAATTAACAAAAAGTTTCTTTTAAACAGCTAGAATTTACATAATTGATTCATGCAGATTTTACTTCACAAAGCCATAAGGTCTGATAGAGCCTTATTACAATTTTACCTGAATCTCAAAGTCTGTAGATGAAAAAGCAAATCTAGAAAGGCTACTGGGTAGCACAGCCAGGACTTGAACCCAACTCTCCTGATCACCAGTGAAGAAAGGTCTCTCTAAAACCATGCTAACATGGAATTTTAAGAAGAAGACCGGAAAGATAGTTTCATTCACATTAGTCACAGTGAGAAGTCAATGAAATAAGGTTTAAAACTAAAAAATCAAGAGATGATAACCCAAGCATATTCTTTAAGAGTTGAATGTAAAAAAAAAAAAAAACAGTTGAAGGTAAATATCACGATATCTAGCTGAAAGAGGCAAAGGTAAGTTGCTGTTGGAGAGGAGAAGATAACTGGGAAACTGCTCTTTTTCCTTAACCTTGTAAACTTGGACTCTAAAATATGTGCATCTATAGCTTTGATAAGAATAAAAGATAAAACCTCAGAAATTAAGAACATGAATTACTAAAGAATTGTTCACTCAAACTTGCAAAATTACCACAATCCAGACACAACCCATATACAATTTGTTAGAAAATATTTAAAAATTCTTAGATGCTCACCATAGCCCTGGAGCAGGGCCCAAGAGACCTCCTTTTTTGCCAGGTGTTAACTCTTTTGTTGCTTGATGAAAGGTGAGAAGTCGGTGAGAGACATTTAGGATCTCCAGGGAAGTGCGGGGCAACCTGGAGAGGAAGATATCTGAGTGGGGGAGCGTGGATTCCCTAATCAGGATCACTCAGAGTGTTAAGACAGCAGATCTTCAGCCCATGGTTCAGAAGTTCAATCATGTATCAATTGGTTTAGCCTTTCTAATATGTCCTGGCTGGATATCAGCCGGGATCGGTATGCCAAACAGAATAATTTTAGAGAAACAAATATAATGAGTTTATTGCCCATTTGCTTTAAAATATGAAAACATCAAGCCAAAGTCCTATTAATTGTAACTTCAGCCACATCAGAGTGGCTGTCAGATAAATTCTTGATATATGCACAAGGACATCTTCAAGGCATTTTGGAAAAATTAGAGTGTTAAGAGGACATAGAGGCAAAATTATCTGAAATTTTATATATGTTGAATTTGTGATAACTAGGTTTCATTAAGTTCTTCAGGTTACCATTGAAAAGGAAAACTAAAACTAAACGTGTATTTCTTACATTGGATGGTGGATTCATGGGTCTTTGTCAGTCTGCTTCATGAATTAAATGCATTGTATACATTATTTTGGATGAATCTAATATTTCACAATAAAAAGGAGGAAAATACTAAATAAAGTTTTAAAAACCATTGATGATAACTATGTTAAAAAGAGCCTGTTAGATAGCAAGTGTATGGTTATAATATTTTGAAACTTATGTTCTCTTATAGTTGAAAAACCGAGGTCGCTGGATCCACTGGAATGAACTAATTAAAAGTATTAGTTTAGGAAATAAACGTGTCAAGATTCAAGATATCATAGTCCCTACCATGGATACAATTAGATATACATTTCTAATGGATTTGAGTATTACCTATGCAAAGTAAGAAACTGTTATAACATGCATTTTGAATATTGCAGTACCTTTCTTATAGGATCATAGGATTTTTTAAGTGAACTTCAGAATCCATTTTCAGATAACTGAGACACTGAGCTACCCGCCAACATTTCCATAGTGACATCTGATACTCTTAGTAAATCTGAAATCCAGACTTCCTGTCACTGGCTCCAAATCTTTGCCTTCCTACTTTGTTGCCTCATAAGCCATATTTTATTTCTCTTATTTGTAATTGTGGACTAAAAGTCAGTTACAATGTTACTCTTAAAAAACCATTCTACTCACAGGCTCACCATACTCCTTAGGAATCAGACTAACAATGATTCTCTCGTTTGGCATTATTCAAATATGTCCTGTGCCAGTTCTTCATCATTTAAGATGAACATAAAAGACTCAGACTTAAATCAGAAGAGCACATCAAAAAAGATGAACAGCCTAGCACATACCATAGGCATATCCATACCAATTTTCTTAATAACACTTTTGCAGTTATGTTTCTCTTAAAACATTAGCATAATTTATCATTAATTTTATAATGTTTAAGTTAGACAAGCTTACATAATATGCATGAATGTCATAATTTGTTTTTGATGAAGAACCTGTTTCTGAGTGAAATTTATGACAGTTTTATCTTGTGTTATTTAAAAAAAAGAAAAAATAGCTTATGAGGGAGCATAGTTGTTCAGTTGCTAAGTTGTGTCCAACTCTTGGTGACCCATGGACTGTACCACACAAAGCTCCTCTGTCCTCCACTATCTTCCAGAGTTTGCTCAAATTCATGTCCATTGAATTAGTGATGCTATCTAACCATCTCATCTTCTGCTACCTCCTCCTCTTTTTGCCTTTAATCTTTTCCAGCATCAGAGTCTTTTTCAATGAGTCATCTCTTCGCATCAGGTGGCCTAAATATTGGAGGTTCAGCTTCATCAACAGTCCTTCCAATGACTATTCAGGGTTGATTTCCTTCAGGTTGACTGGTCTGTCTCTTTGCAGTCCCTTGGACCATAATTCGGAAGCATCAATTCTTTGGCCCTCAGTCTTCTTTATGGACCAACCATCAACTTTATGAATGAAATAGAAACATTATTTTGTCCCTATTTTGTCCCATGGTTGCATTTTTACATTTAGAGGCTAATATTAAAATCTTAAAATATTAACAGCACCAAAGAATTGATGCTTTTGAACTGTGGTGTTAGAGAAGACTCTTGAGAGTCCCTTGGACTGCAGGGAGATCAAACCAGTCAATCTTAAAGGAAATCAGTCCTGAATATTCATTGGAAGGACTGGTGCTGGAGCTTGAAACTCCAATACTTTGGCCACCTGAGCAAAGAGCTGACTCATTTGAAAAGACCCTTATGCTGGGAAAGATTGAAGGCAGGAGGAGAAGGGGATGACAGAGGATGAGATGGTTGGATGGCATCACCGACTCAATGGACATGAGTTGGAGCAAGCTCCAGGAGTTGGTGATGGACAGGGAAGCCTGGTGTGCTGCAGTCCATGGGGTCACAAAGAGTCAGATACGACTGAACAACTGAACTGAACTGATTAAAGTCTTCCTTAGACATGTTGGGCTTCCTTGGTAGCTCAGCTGGTAAAGAATCCACCTGCAATGCAGAGACCCCAGTTTGATTCCTGGGTCGGGAAGATCTACTGGAGAAGGGATAGGCTACCCACTCCAGTATTCTGGCCTGGAGAATTCCATGGACTGTATAGTCCATGGGGTTGCAAAGAGCTGGATACAACTGAGCGACTCGCTTTCACTTTAGGCATGTTACGTATTTGTCAATTCTCAGGAGTTACTAGTATAGGAATTCTTTTGTTCCATGAACCATTTGTCAGAATAGTGCTTTCAAATGAATAAGTAAAAACATAGGATTATAAAGGAAACCACATATTAAAATACATTTATTAACATATTGAAAAATTTGAACTCCAGTTGTAATATGTGTGCTTCTTTATTAACATGTTAAATAATAAGATCTAGCAGTGAGTCTGATGATGATCATAATTTTGAAGAAGTAATAGGCATAAGTGATACTTTTGAGATATTTAACAATTATATTTAGTACAACATCTGTAAGGTCTGTTGATGACAAGCACACAGGTACTATTATAAGTTGCTCCATTTTCGTAAAGGGTAGTGAAAGTAAAGATACAGACTTTATGTCCTCTAAGTTCTGAATACTGTAAGAATTTCTTCAGTTTGGCTCGTGGACCCTAAGTTAAGAAAGGTTTTTTATTTCGTAAATTATTTTAATAAGTAGTTTTTCAGAACATTGAGAGTTACTCAGACTGGAAAGTATAGATGAATTCTCAGGCATCACTATAATTCTAAATGATCTGTTTTTTGTTTGTAGCATTGATTTCATGTTTATACTTCAATGATAATTTTTAAAATTAATATTATCATAATTTGGGTCATATAGATTACTTTTTGTATACTGAATACCGCTGTTCAGTTTTAATGCCAGGCTTTATGTTTGTCTTCATGTAGTGTGTGGTGCCAAGTTATCACTTAAAAGTGATGGTATTTAATTTTTACTTCAGTATGTCTCAAACTGGAGTTCTCCAGGTTTCTGTGAACATAAACTCAGGAGTTTTTTCCCTTTAAATTAGTTCAGACTACTCAAAAATGAGAAACCCTACTTGAAGCTATTAGAATAGAGAATTCCTTAGAGTTTGCTTTTAGACGGGTATTTTCAGTTAGTAACACTGACTTGATTCAAAAATGCTATTGACGGGTAGATACAGCTGTTACTTTTTAGAATTCACTGCCATTTACTTTCTTACAGAAACCTTGTGGTATTGAGATAACTGCACAACAGCTTCAACCTCTCTCTTTGTCATCATCCTAACATTCCACACTCACCTGTATCTCGATCTAAAAAGTACAAATATAGCTAGCACTTTCTGAGGAGACAAATGCTGCCTTTATTTTTTTTTTATGAAAAGTTAAGCATGTGACTACTTGTTTTAGCATATAACAATGTTACACCTGTCCAAATAATAGTGTTACTATTTAAGTTTTGAAAGTAAGCAAAAATGTGTGCTAGTTGTTACTTTTATCTGTCTTTTATGAAATGACAATGATAAGTTAAAATGTGAGTTTTTGGGTGAAGATGATTTGATTATTATTTATGTTTTCAACTAACTCCAGCCTTCTCTAGTTGAAATAAATGTATTCTGACTTTTTCTCCTTCTGATGATATGTTAATTGTTTCATTAAGGCCACTACTTTTTGTGGGTCCAACGGGTACAGGAAAATCTGTGTATGTGAAGGATAAGCTGATGAATCACTTGGAAAAAGACCTGTACTTTCCTTTTTATGTTAATTTCTCTGCGCGGACCAGTGCCAACCAGGTTCAGGTTAGTTCAAAGTTAGAAATATGGATCTATCATTTTTACTTTTTTTCCTTATTTGATTAGCATTTAAAACTGTATTTTTTTCTTTATAAACAGCTTGGTAGTTTAAAAATTTTTTTATTGGTGTATAGTTGATTAACAGTGTTGTGTTAATTACAGCAAGGTGAATAATAAAACTGTATTTTAGTAAATCTTCCATGAATTTAAATAAAACTTCAAACATCTTATTTTTGGCTTTAAAGTAATTTTTAAAACTTAAATTTTAAGGAGAAATTTCAAGAGAACATTTTTGCATTAATGTTGAATTGTTGAGCTTTGTCAGCTTTTTTTCTCCCCAAGCCCAAGAAGGAACAGTTGATTTCTTAACTGGAGAAGTATGAAGTATAAGAAAAGGGAGGGAGGGAGGGAAGTAGAGAGAGAGGTTTTTAACTTGTTTTTTCAGTACTCTCGCAGATGGTCTTTAGAGGCATTTGCTGCTTGCTGAAGTTCGGTCAGTGAAAGATCTTTCAAACCATAGACTTTTTGTTGTGTGACCCACCTTTTACTCCTAGAGGTGCCAAGATGAAAGTACTGCATGAGACCTTTTCTAATTACCATTTTTATCTTCCATTCCTAGAATTATATCTGTCCATTGTCTTCTGACCTGTGGTGCTCATTTTCTTTGTTATAAGCTTACATAATTCTCTAATTTCAAAATACTACAAGTTTAGTGCTTTTAAATATTAAGTTAAAGTTTATAGATATGTTGGGGTATCTGTTGTGGAAAAAGTTCTGTGTGTGCCTGTGTGTACAATGTAAATATAGGTGTGTACCTAACAATTCTGAGCACAAAGAAGTGTTTCATTATATGCTCTTTGAATAATGTTGAATATGAAGTTTCATATAACCCTGAAAATGAATAAATTTAAATGGATAACATGGTAATGCTTGACATTATTACCTTACATAATTAGACTGTTAATTTTTTTCTGGTGTTTAGTATGGCTTTAAATATACTACACTTTCTTCTTTATATTTTAGAACATTATTATGGCTAGACTGGATAAAAGGCGCAAAGGAGTTTTTGGACCACCTATGGGAAAGAAGTGTATAATTTTTATAGATGACATGAATATGCCTGCATTGGAGAAATATGGAGCCCAACCTCCTATTGAATTATTACGACAATTTTTTGACTGTGGGAATTGGTAAGTATTTACCTGAAGTCTTAAGTAGCCATGTTGAAGTAACGTCTTGTTCTCTTTTTCTGTTTTTATTTTTTCACATCAAAATAATACAATTTTGCAAATTACTTAATGGGACAAAACGGTTGTTCAGATTTTCTTATATGGAAAATTTTAGAATACCTTCCTATACTTTTTTATATCATGGAAGAATAATCCACAAATATATTTATTTAATAATGTATTAGTTTTTGCCCTTTTAAGCTACTACTTTCAGTTATTAAAAATAATTTACCAATTATATCTTTTACTATCACCCAGCACTGAGAATTTATGGATGGTCTCCAACCTAAGTAACCATAACCAGCACTCTATGTTTCCACCATTTTAAATTCCTTATATTATCTATGATTATTTGGGACTACCATATCTTTGAGATGGCTTGGTTTTGACAGCAATTTCATGAATAACTCTTCCACTTCTTCCACCGTATTTTACAATAATATGATTAGTTTCCAACACATATGACATTGTATATTTTAGTTAGGATTAATAATTCTGCATTTCCTCCTATTAAAATATTTTCCTGATCCCTAATATACTATGATTTTTATCTCAAGGCAAGGATAGATTACTTATGAAACTAAATCATATTTTGAGATTATATATTTTTTTGTTATTGCATGCCCTGGAATCTTGCTTTCAGGAGATAACCACTGTTAATAGTATATTCTCTATTCTTCTGAGTTTTTTTTCCATATAAATATATTTTTATTTCTAAAAAGATCCATGTTGCACATAATGTTTTATAACTTATTTGCACTTAGTATATTTAACTATATTATTTATATGTTTCCTTCACCTATCCATATTATTGGGCTTCCCTAGTAACTCAGATGGTAAAACATCTGCCTGCAATGCAGGAGACCCGGGTTCAATCCCTGGGCTGGGAAGATCCCCTGGAGAAGGAAATGGCAACCCACTCCAGCATTCTTGCCTGGAGAATTCCATGGACAGAGGAACCTGGCGGCCTATGGTTTATGGGGTCACAAAGAGGCAGACATGACTGACCAACTAACACACACACACACACACAGGCATCCATATTATTTGTCTATCTCATTTATTTTATTGGCTTTTAATACTATTTAGTTTTGTGAATCTTACTATAATTTATTTAACCAGTCCCTTATTGACAGTTATTAGAGTTGCCAAAGACCAGGTCATATTTTCATACTTTCTGTGGTGCTTTTAGACTAAACACTGGCTGTATAGATTTCTCCCACCATCATCCCCCTTTTTTGCAAGAACTTCAATGTTAAAGAACTTTATGATCTATTTGAAATAGGCACCTTTTTACTCTGAGCAGTTCTAACTAAATTGAGTCATTTTTGTACCCTTTTTTATATTCCCTAGTGGGTGTCTATTTAGGCAACAAAAAGGTATAGGTTCTTTTTATATATCCTTCTGTGCTCTGAAGATAAGATTTGAGATGAGAAAAAGGAATCAGAACTAGCTGAAAGTAGAGTAAGTATATAGCTTATTGTCTAAATAAGGACATTTCTGAGAGAAAAGGGAGGCTGTTAATAGTTACTACAGGATAGGTACAAACAAGAATTTTCTTAAACAAAGTGGGACATATAGTCATCTTGCCTATAAACGGCTACAAAAAAGATTGATCTCTCATCCATATTTCTGGATTTAGAGTGTAAGACACAAAGCAGAGAGTTAAATAGAAGGAAGAATTGCAAAAAAAAAAAAAGGGCAAGAAGAGGAAGGGACATTCTAGATACCCACAATCTGGACAGCATTATCAGTGTCAGTGAAAGGAAAAGCAGAGTGCTGCTTTAAAACAAGTTTTCTCCACAGATTATTGGTTGCCTGAGGTGGGTCAGAGCAAAATAGGTAAAGGGGGTCAAGTAAGTCAGGGGGGCTGCAATGTACATCTTGTTGACTATAGTTTAATAATACTGTATCACATATTTGAAAAGAGCTCAGAGGATGAATTGTGAAAGTTATCACAAGAAAAAAAATTTTTGTAACTGTATCGGGTGACAAATATTAACTGAACTTATTGTGGTGAACATCTTGCAATATATGCAAATATCAAACCATTATGTAGCACACGGAAACTAATGTTATGTCAATTATACCTCAATAAAAAAAAGAAGTAAAAATTATAGGAATCCTTAAAAAAAAAACTTCTCTTTTACTCCAAGTAATATCTAATCTTCTTCCTTTTAGAAAAGCTAAAATCAGATAAAGTTTCAAAGGAGCTCTGCTTTTCAGCCCATCTCGTTGGCTTTATTACTGACTGTTTTGGGATTTTTATGTGCTTTCAAGGTATGACCTGAAGGACACAAGTAAAATCGTATTGGTTGACATACAGCTGATTGCTGCCATGGGTCCTCCAGGTGGTGGAAGAAATCCAGTCACTCCCCGTTTTATCCGGCATTTCAACATCTGCACCATTAATACTTTCAGTGATGAAACTATGGTCCGAATCTTCTCATCAATTGTAGCGTTCTACTTGAGGACTCGTGACTTTCCTCCTGAGTACTTTTTAGTTGGGAACCAGATTGTCAGCGGGACTATGGAGGTGAGTAACGAATGCAGAACAAAGTCTTTAATATTACATATATCTGCATTTGATCCGTTGGTTTTTGTATTTTTTTCTTCTTTTCTCCCCTAGCCATCTACTTTTTGTCTTCACTGTCAGAGAAGCTGTCAGGAAGGTTTGAAAACAGGAACATTGTAGGCTTTGAAATTGGGGAATCTAGCTGGATTTGAGCCTTGACTACTATTTCTTAGCTATCTAGCCTTGCGCAAGCAACTTCACCTTAGTTTTTTAATCACTAAAATGGGAGCTAATATCTATTTCATAAAGGTTGTTATAAGGAAATCATCTAGAACCAGTATCCACCACATTGTAGGTGTTGCCTTAATTGTTGGGTTCCTACTCTAGTATTTATTAAATTTCCCTTCTCTCTCTTCTCTTTCTTCATGTTTATGTAAAAAAAAAGAGGAAGAAAGAAACTTAAGCAGCTTATGAATACCTTATTTTTGCCAGACTGCATAACTTAGCGGTGGAAGTGAAAAAAAAAAAAAAGGTGGGACACAAGGGTGGGACTAGAGAACAGAGAGCAGCCCTTAACTGATACCATGTGTGTCACCTGCCTCTGCTCAGAGCCCAGAGCCCGCCTTGTAGCTGATGGTAAAAGGGGAAAAAATGCATTTAAGGTAGTTTAGTGATAATCTCATTGAACTAGGCTTTTTGGAGGTTGAGATCACTGCAACCAGAAGCAAAAAGCCCCTAGAATCATTCCATCAGTTCCAAAAGCATTGGGTCTTTCTAAAGTTCTTCTGCCCCTGTTCTGGTGGAATAGTGTGTTATTAAAATAGAGAAACTAAAATAGCAAAAAGATAGTCCATTGTAATTACTATACTTATTCTGATACAGAAAAGTGCTTCTCTTTATAAAATTGTATTTCTATTTGTAAAATATGATATTTGTATTATGTATTTATATATCCTGTAAAGAGAAGGGAGTTGGTTAGGCAGAATAGAACACAGAAAGGATCCTCTGTTGTTGTTTTTTTCTGTCTTTGATACACTTGATAACACCTACCACGTGTGGAGTTTAGGGGTGGGAGATGAATTAGAGAAGATATAAATTAGATAAATTTATAAATTAAAAAATAATTTTATTTGGATCTTTTTCTGTATTATCAAAGATTTAATTTATCTTTCTTCAAGAGAATGATAAGCTTAATGAATTCAGCATGTAGTAAAAATATACTTCATTTTGATATTATAGCCAATTAAGATAGAAGGAAGAGAAGGGAGAGAGAAAACAAGAGAGAGAAGTGAAGGGAGAGAATATGTTGATTTGAGGTCAGTGGTGGTCAAAGAAAATGGTTTCATCATCTTCTTCATTTTGAATGCTTCAGAATACATTGTCTGATGTCACTTTCTACTGAAATTTTTGTTCACTGTTTAATCCCAGGTCATTCACCTTTAAATGGAACAACTATAATTACCGGGAAATAAGAGCATTGTCACTTTTTGGGCATGGATGGAATCAGATGATATTAAATTCCCTCAATTTTATAATTCCCTGTCAAGTGCTGTAAAGCAAAATATATAGGTATATGCCATGCTAGGCTCAGAACTATACAATTTTCCAAGCCAATATAATCTGATAGGATAAATAAAATATTTTATATAATATACTCTTTGTTATAGCATATTATGTTGTTGTTGACTTTATAGTACAGTGTTTTTGGCTTTGCTGATTATAAGCATTTGATTTCTTGCTTTGTTGCTTTTTTCGCATTCAGATATATAAACAATCCATGGAAAATCTTTTGCCCACTCCCACAAAATCTCATTACACTTTCAACTTGCGGGACTTTTCACGCGTCATCCAGGGCTGTTTGCTCATTGAGAGAGATGCTGTGGAAGGCAAGCACACCATGATCCGTCTGTTTGTGCACGAGGTTCTCCGAGTGTTTTATGATCGCCTCGTTAATGACGGCGACCGATTCTGGCTGTTCACTTTGACCAAAAATGTTGTGAAGGACCATTTTAAAGAATCGTTTGATAGTATCTTTTCACATTTGAGGAAAGGGAATACAGCAGTGAGTATATTTAGTGTTTAAAAACAAGTTAAAACAGTCTAATAGCAGGAATTATTACAGTCAACTTATCTTTAAAAGAATGCTATTACTCCTTCACGATCATGTTCTTTTTAACTTTCCTCATAGATTGATATTTAGCTTGAAAAGATTTGATTTCAGAATAGTTATATATATATATATATATATATACATAGAAGTTATATGTCAGGGATTGAATGATAATAGTAGATGTAAGGTGCTTAGCATGGTGACTATCCTTTAGTAACGACTCACTAAGTGGGTGCTTAGAATGACTTTTCCAGCTTCTGGGGTTGGGGGGAGGGGGAAACTTATATGATAGAAAAAAGTTCTTTTCATTTACTCAGGATATAATGTAGTTTCAGGTGTTAATTATACAACTATATTAGTTATTACCCGAATGTTTAGAAGAATTAAGTTTATTTTAGAAAAAATTTTAACTTTTGTAATTCATTGATTTCCATTTTATAGATAACTGAAGAGGAGCTAAGAAATCTCATGTTTGGTGACTATTTGAATCCTGACCTTGAAGGAGATGACAGAGTTTATATTGAAATTCCAAATATTCATCATTTTAGTGACGTTGTGGACCAGTGTTTAGATGAGTATAATCAAACTCACAAAACAAGAATGAATCTTGTCATTTTTAGGTACCTGTATTTGGTGTTGATGCTTAAAATTACTATTTGTAAAATTTTATTGTGAAATGTTTAGAATGTAGAAAAAGATTTTTAAAATTTGAATTTATTTGAATATTTATTTAAATTAATTTATTTGAAATCTCTAGCAATTTATTTGAAGTCTCTTGTGTAGCCAACCCTCCCTCACTGCATTCTCATTGTACCTTGCAGGGGTAAAAAGAAACTCATGTGTTTCTTTAGATTTTTACTACATGTGTGTGTTCCTAAGGGCTTCCGCAGGTTGCTCAGTGGTAAAGAATCCACCTACCAATGCAGGAAGCAGAAGTTCAATCCCTGGGTTGGGAAGGTCCCCTGGAGGAGGAAATGGCAACCCTCTCAAGTATTCTTGCCTGGGGAATCCCGTGAACAGAGGAGCCTGGTGGGCTACAGCCCATGGGGTCACAAAGAGTCAGACAGTTAGTGTCTGAGCATGCACACATGTATGTTCCTAAACATGCAGGCAGTCTTATTTCGCATGTTTAAAAATCATGTAAATGCTATCATATTGTGCATAGTCCTTTGCAAGTTGGTTTATTCCAGACTGTGAAATTCACAAAAAACAAATTCTTACTACTGTATTGCATTCCAGTGTATAATTTTAACACAATGGAATCATTCTTCTGAGATAGACTTCTGTTTCAGATACTAAGTACTTTAAACTAAGTAACTTCTAGTTTCTGTAATTATGAAAAAGGTTTGAATATTCATGTCTCCTTGGTTACATGTATAAGGATTTCTCTAGGCTATATTCTTAGAATTGGAATTACTATGTCATGATATGTTAGCGTCTTCTACTTTACTAAGTTTTGCCAAAGTGTCTTCAGAAATGATCATTGTTTTTAAGAACTTTCATTGTTTCTCACCCTTGCCAACACTTAGGATTGCCTGATTTGGTTAGTTTTGTCAGTATCACACTGTGTCTTTAGTTTTAATTTCCCTGATTACTAGTGTGGATACCTTTCTTGAATGTATTATTTTGTATATAACTGACTTTCTAGTTCTCACATAGAAATCCTAGTATTAAAATGTTGAATAAATTTTTTCTTTTTTTTGCCATGCTTGTGATATCTTAGTTTCCTGACCAGGGATTGAACCCTGGCCCTTGACAGTGAAAGTCCAGAGTCCTAACTAGTGGACCACAAGGGAATTTCTGAAGAAATCTTTTAAATAAAAATAATATACTCCAGTACAGATAGTTAACAATTGCATTTTATTTTTGTAACTTACATATATTACATTTCCTGAATTTGTACTTAAAATAGTTTTCCTTTACATCAAATGGTCAAATTGTAACTGCATTTGAAATACCACACTTATTCATGATTACATCTTTAAAATTGAGATAGTAACATATGGGATAGCAAAGTCCATCCTTCTAGGAAAGTAAAGCAATAGTTATGGGCAAATAAACATTTACATTCATATTTTCAAGTATAATAATATCTATATGTCATAGGTATGTATTGGAACATTTATCACGAATATGTCGGATTCTGAAGCAGTCTGGTGGAAATGCTTTGCTTGTCGGACTTGGAGGAAGTGGTCGTCAATCTTTAACTCGTCTGGCTACATCCATGGCAAAAATGCAGATTTTCCAACCAGAAATTTCAAAGAGTTATGGTATGAATGAGTGGAGAGAGGACCTGAAGGTAAAATCATGAGGAAATCTAGTGTCTAAAGTAACATCCGTGCATTCTTTTATCTGTAAAGAGAGAGCCATCCTGTATAGCTAGCTGTGTGCTGAATGCAATGGTGATAATGGTGATGATAATACTATCCCTAGGCAGTTACTGCATGTGTTGAGCACTGTTTGAAGTGCTTTACATATGTGCTTTCTTTCTACAAATATGACAATTCAGTGTAGCAGGTATGGTTGTTTCTGTGTTTTACTGATGGGGAAACTGAAGTTGAGAACAGGTGTGCACAGCAGAGTGGGATTTATAACTTAAGGCTTATCCACTGCATTCTTACCATGCTGCTGCTGATTCTATCTTTATTCTAGTTCAGAAAGGCCTTATTTCAGACAAATGTGTTTTTTCAGTAGACTGTTAGATATAAACTTCAGTGGTGATGACAATGTCATCAAAGCTGTCAAATCTTAATAGTATCTTTAGAGCTATGCTGCCATTCCAGTAAGCAATAGAATAGTAGAGGGCATACTTGGGGCTTCATACACATGTGCCTGTTGTTCTGCTGGCCCTGGAAGAGAGATGACCCAAAGTGGAAAAAAACAAGAGAGACTTTGCTGGACTTTTTAAACTTTTTCTGACCTTCATGTACTAAGTTAGTCTACATCTTAAAAGTGAGTGGAGAACTGGCTTTTATATCTCCATTCTTAGATGGACAGATTCTTTCTTTTTTCAAATCCATCTTAGTTCCTGAAGTGAGACTGTGAATGGGCCCTCTTAAATCATAAGCCCACCTCTGAATCAATGACTGTGCCTCGGGGCTTGGAAAACTGGCCAGTTGGAGTCTCCCACTGGAGGGATGGGTAAAATGGAGGCCCAGATTGACAGTGCCACCAGAATGAGCGAAGTGAAAGTGAAAGTTGCTTAGTCATGTCTGAATCTCCGTGACCACATGGACGATAGTCCCTGGAATTCTCCAGGCCAGAATACTGGAGTGGGTAGCTGTTCCCTTCTCCAGGGGATCTTCCCAACCCAGGGATCGAACCCAGGTCTCCCGCATTGCAGGTAGATTGTTTACCAGCTGAGCCACAAAGGAAGCCCCAATGGGAGAGGTAATACTGTAAAACTGAGATTTTTTTTTTTTTATCCAAAACATGTTTTTTGGGATGGTTACCATTCATCTTGATACAGGGTACTTTTAGTGCTGCTTCCATCTGAAAGACCATCCTTCTGTAAGCCTTGCTTTGCCTCCTGTCGGGTGGCAGAGGACAGTAGTGCAGCCAACACACAAAACTACTGTCTGTGCATGGCTAAAGACGGTGGTGATTTCATAGCAGCCTGGGCATTTTACATCCATGAAATAGGAACTGGGGCTCTGCACCAGGCGCTTCTTCTTGTGTTTCCTCTTCTCTTCTGGAGAGGGATGAAGAAGATCCTTTGTGAGAGGCATGTTCTCGTGAGGAGGTTGTCACCGCCGGAAAGGGCGAGATGTTGTTATCAAAAGAAAGGAAGGGGGATGGAAAACAAAAAAAACAAATGGATTTCCACCAGATTCTGATTCTAAGTACATTTTTATCTTAAGGCCCTTTTAAGGAATGTGGGCATGAAGGGCCAGAAGACAGTCTTTCTAATCACGGACACTCAGATTAAAGAGGAAGCTTTTCTAGAGGACATCGACAGTGTGCTCAACACTGGAGAAGTACCTAATATTTTTGCAGCAGATGAAAAACAAGAAGTGATGGAGGTAAATGCTTTTCAGGGGGTGCTACTCCCAACTCAGAAATGTTACCTGGAAACTTTTCTGTTCTTTAATATAAATATGGCTTGTGCAGAGAATTTTGGATATAAATATTTATATTTATATATATTTATATAATATATATTATAATA